CAATAAACTCTTAAAGCTGAAAAAAAAAATAAGTAAGGGGAAATGCAGTTGGGAAAGAGGCTTATGGGATACGGGGAGCGCTGTTTCCATAGAGTGGGTCGAAGACCCCTCAGAAATGGCATTTGAGCAGAGAACTGAGGGAAAGATAAGCTGACCCTCTGTCCCAAACAGGATTCAGGACAAGGGTACAACAGGCACAAAGGCCCTGAGGCAGGACTCTGCTGGGCCCGCTTAAGGAGAGGAAGGAGAAACCAAGAAGTGGCAGGAGTCAGCCTGTGCCAGGCTTCCGAGGCGGAAAGGAGGACCCTGGCTCTTACTTTGATGGCTTCTTTTTGGTGTCTGACCTGAGAACAGACCGTACGGGGACAATGGTGAGACAAGAAGACCAGTTAAAAGATGACGGTGGCACCCAGGTGAGAGATTATGGTGCACTGGAAGCAGTGGTGATGGCCAAAGCAGGCACGTCGTGCAGGCAGGCGGATGTCTGTGCCTGGAGTCCGCCTCTGGCTGATGCAGAGGCGGGGACAACTTCTAGACGGCACTGAAAGCCACGTGAGATCTCCCGTGAAGTGAGTGTAGGTGGAGAAAAGATGCCTGGCCTGTGCCGGGTTTAAAGGTGAAGGAGATGAAGAGGAAATAGTGGGAACGGGTATAAAGGCACAAGCGGGTCCGTAGGAAGAGCCAGGAAAGTGTGCTGCCCCGGAAGCTGTGTGAGCAAAGTGCTTTACAAAGGAGAGAATCATCAACCCATCTGTCCACGCGGCTGATCAGGCAAAGAACACGAGGACCGTACACGACCATCAAATCTGACAGCCTTCGATGTGGGTGAACTTCACAGTGGCTGTTTTCGCAGTGCTGAGGAACAGTGAGACAGTGAGAATAGTGGTCCCCCAAGGACATCCATGTCCGTCCCTCAACAGAAAGCATCCGAAGGGACCGCCATCACCAAGCTCAAATCAGACTATGCGAAGGACAGAACCCATCCTGGATGGGCCCAGAGAGCAGCCTCACTCATCTTAGACATGAGGTGACAGAGTGCAGAGAGGCTGCAGTGACGGCTCCAGGTACCAAAACTGGTGACAGGTGGAGAGCAGAGATGACAACTCCTGCGCCTCGGCCAGTGTCCTCTCCACCACTTTCACTGTTTTCCTGCCAAGCAGCCATCACCGCTCTGGGAGGACCACAGGTGCCACAGTTGCTAAAGTAGCCTTTGAGGCGCGCTGTGATCCTCACTGGTGACACTGTAATTAATTCCCTTTCTTGTCTCTTCAGCTTCCTCAGGGGTGTCTACACTTCGCCTCTATGAGAAGAAAAGCAAAGAATGCCAGGCCTGCTACAGCCACAGCCCTAAATCCCACATGAGGTCACAGGTGTGGAGCTAGAAATAGTGCATTTCAAAGGGTTCGGTATAGAAGAGTCTATCAACTCAAAAGAGACATTAAGCAAAAGTCCTCTGAGAACCCCAGAGAATAAAAGTGCTGGGCAAAAGGAGCAGAGCAATCACAAAATCAGAGCCCTTCCATCACCTGTCTGTGAGCGGAGTTATGACAAGCCTGTCAGAGCAGCCTAAAAATTCATTCTGGTATATAAAAGCCACATCTGTGATGTGGATCATCATCTTGTCAGAATCTTCATTAAAATAAAATCTGCACTGTTTCAGCCACTCAAAGTCCGTGGGGCTCTTGATGTGCATATGACACTGAAATTCAAAAGGTATATGTTACAACTGAAAGGAGAATCATCTATTAAATATAACATTAGCATTATGTAAATTATAAAGTAAAAAAAAACTGTATTAGTTCAGAGACGTCAACTATATTATCACCTAACCCATTCACTTATTGATCGACAAAAAAGAAACCAGACACTGGCATAAGAAAAATCGAAAGAACCCCTACCTAATTAAACCCTCCAAGTTAGATGCCATTATATAGTTTAATGATAAGATTTATTTCTTAAATCTCAACCTTTAGTGACCAATACTATACTCCTAACCAAGAAATTCAACTTATAAAAAATATGTTGCAGTGCACAGAGAGAGCTAAACAATCTCATTGAGAAAAAGTCATCTGGTAAGATTATGTTAAAGCACACTATTATTTTTTTAATCCATTAATTATTTTCCTAGGAATTTGCAACAAGACAAAATTTCTTACACCTAGATGGCAGGTTATCGCCCAGCAAAGCTTTTGTCTGAATTGTCTAACCAAAAATGTTAAACCACCTTAATCATTTTTCCTTGACAAACAAGAAATCAAAATTACCTGGAGTCTTTCATTTCTAAGAGAGGGAAAGAGTGGGCTTAACTATTAGGAGAGGAAATTAGCACAGAACAGCTTGATGGTGTGGTCTTTTATTTCCATTACATCAGGACCAAATGTTCATAATCTTTTTTACTTAATGGAGTTGAGACACAACTCAGAAAATCACTAGGAAAGCAAGAGATTCATATCTCTTCTAGTGTTGTCTCTTATCTAACATTGTCTTTTACAGCAGAACACAAAGTTCCTTTCTTTTCATATTGCCCACTTTCTCTGGCTACTGAATGCTCCTTTTCCTCTTGTTCCGTCTTCAAAGGAAAAAATCTGCATGACACCTGAATGGCATAAACTACGCTTGGAAAGATCACTTTGCATTCAGTGACGTAAAATAATGCAAAACTCATTAAGGGTGTGATTTATCCAAGGCCTTAAAAGAAGCCTTAAACAGCTCTACCAGCAGCAGTTATCATTTCTGCAGCAAAAAACTAGTGATCTTCCATCCATAGCTAACAGGAGCACAAGACAAAGAACTTTCAGGATGCTAATGGCACTTGAGCATTTAAAACAATCACATAAACAGTTTTAAAATTAAATCCAATTGCTCAGTAACATAGTTTAGATCACCAGAAATTTTATTATCAGGCTGAAACTAAAGTGGGGCAAACAACCTTTGATCAGGTTGTTTGATGACTCTTTGCTTGAATTTACCTTTCCCTTGAATACATTCTAATTAATTCCAGTGGGTACACATGGGTAGTGTGCAGTATTAGCTTTTCTGTATGTGTCACAGCATTTATAAAGAACTTACCAGGTCATCAAAGATATCTCTCTGGTGCACGTGAATTGTAATCAAAGTCTCATATTTAACACGTTCCACGGAGCTCAGATCCTTTGTGGTGATGTCTATTAGTGTGTTAAGGAGCTCCAGGAAAGACTGGTTGGTTTTCTGCATGATCTTTTTATCAAATTTGGCATTTCTAAGGGCTTCTTCAGCATCCCGCGTCCATATCATTTGAATGCCCAATAAGCCAACCTTACAGAAACAAAAGAGAAAACGATTTTATGAGTGCACATCGCCTATTTACATAGGTAAACAGCAATTACAACATAATGGAAAATTGTTATTGTTATGCAAACGTAAAGGCTTCAATACATCAACTTGGTATCTCGTTCCAAAACCCACAGAAACTTTATCTGTATTATCAAACTAGCAATGAAGTATGTACAGCCCCATGATGTGTACAATATTTCTTGTAATTTTGTCATTTAATTTACATTTCTACCTAAATAGGTTTTAAATTACATGCAGATAAAGAAGGTCTTAAATTTGCTTTACCCAAACTACCATGGTGCTTACAAATAACAGATGCAAAAGACTTTATTGATCACAATGACTAAAAAAACACTGTTCCCTATATTTTAATACTGAAATATGTTTCTCATTTTTCTAGTAAAGTGTCCACTCAGTACATTTTTATGATTTGTGTACATCATTATATAAGGAAATTCAGTTGGAAAAACTTTTAAATACCAAATACAAATTACACACACACACACACACACACACACACACTCACAATAATCTATAGTTGAAATCTTTACGCTTATCTACATTTAATAAATCTTATGAAAATCTTAATATTGGTCCAGAGTTCAATGATGCTATCTGCAAAAGCTTACAATAGGCAATAACTGAGCTGTAAGGTAGCTGTTAAAAAAAAAAAAAAAAAAAAAAAAAAAACTTTCCAATTTCAATTCACTGACCTGAGCAGGGAAAGAAGAAAGAAATTCAATCAGTTGGAAACCTGTTTCTTGAATATTTTCAGCTGCTTGGCGAATTACACGATGTAGTGAGTACTGAGATTCCTCCAAGAGAGAATTCAGCCAGACCTCCACATTACCCTCTGCCATCACAGGGCTGTTCAGTTCAATTGTCTCACCCTCTCGAGAGGAAACAGACAGAATCCGATCATAGATCTATGTAAGAAGATGGAAAAACAGTGATATTTATATGAAAAAGAAGAATAATTTTCCTCTGTGCCCCTTATCAATATTACCCTTCTCATAAAGTCACACAGAAATGTTAGTCATGAAACCTGACAATGAATTCCTAAATCGATTCCAAATTTGATCCACACTCTAAGGGATTAAATTTATTTCCTAAAAGAAATATTTAAAACAAATGTAATGATTAAAAAAAAACTCTCAGGTTTCCCAAAGGAAAGGGGGGCTTTCTCGGAGTAATTCCAGGCTCCAAGATTATCAGATTGGCATTAGAAATGACCTGGTCAACAAGACTCATGAGAATAATTCTTTACCAAATACAGTGCTCTTCACACGAGCCTGGCCACGTCACTTTTTTCTTTTTTTCCTTTTTTTTGGTACCAGGGATCGAACTCAGGACCTCACGCTTGCGAGATCGGTAGCACAACCACTGAGCTAAATCCCCGGCCCTCACATGACATTATCTAACCAGACCCAGCTCTCATGCTGCTCCCTGCACTTCACGTCACACACGGTGAGCAAAAGGAGAAGAACGTGTCATCTGGGGTCCAAACGCAAGGCCGGGGTCCTCTTCCAGGCACGGAGATGCAGTGCTGGAGGACAACGCTGAGACTAAATTTCTTGCCTCTGGTGAATCACTAAATATCACACCTGGCCTACTTCCCTACTATCTCACACTGCTCGTGACAATTAAATAAAATCACGCACACTGTCAACACAAAGGCCTCCTCCTCAGTCGCAGACAGAAGTGATCTCTGGAAGGTAGTGAATCTTAAATTTCAGTGATCCTCACTTGCATGGACTTTTTCCGAGTTCCTGAGCACAATTTTCTAAGGTTGGAGACCCACAAAACCAGGACCTGGCATCTGGCCATAGTAACCTTAGGTAGAAACACACAAAATCAATGCTATCTTAGGAAGTGATGGCCAAGAGCAGAAGCAACTGATCTCTGGGGCTTTCAACAATAAAGAAGGAAGCTTAAACCATGTTCAGTGGACAGCTTGAGACAATGAAAAGCTTTGCTTCTGAACCGTGAAGTCCCGGCACGATAAGCAGAAAGATTTGAGCAAAAGCATCAGAGAGAATTCCCTGGTTAATTCGGCTCCTTCTTTCAACCCACACACACTTGATGGGCCAGGAAGAATCACTGGCTTGGACCATTCAAGGCCACCCTCTCTTTACTCCCTGTGCCAGGATTTTCTATAGCACTTCAGCTGTTCCTTTCTTTTCTCTATTTCATTCCACTTCCCACACTGCACACAGAATTTGTCTGAAACACAAATCAGGCCCCTGCCCTGCTTAGAAGCCCCCTGCGGGTCTTGCCACACGCAGGATGAAGTGGATTCCACAGCGTGACATGCTCAACCTGGGGAATGTGACCCCTGCCATTCTCTTCCTCTGTCTCGCTATCTCTCGGTAAAGTCCTATGGGATCTGAGCCCAGGCTGGAGTAATTCAGGTTGGCTTCTATCTATTACGTGGGTTGACTGTGTCCCCTAGAAGGCTGAAGTTGTAGCCCCAGGACCTGTGAATGTGACATTATTTGGAAGTACAACATGTGTAAATGTGATCAAGTAAAAACTGAGGTCAGGCTAGATTTAGGGTGTCCTTACAAGAGGAAATGTAGAATCAAAGACCCACAAGAAGAACAATGTGTCAAGACAAAAGCACACCTTAAAATGATGTCGACAAGCCAAAAAACACCAAGGATAACCAACAGCCACAGGAAACTGTGACAGAGGTGTAGAAATTCTCCCCAGAGCCCTCAGTGGGAACAAACACAGCTGCCGTCTCACTGCTGACTTTTTAACTCTGGAGCACAGAGAGAAGGCATTACTGCTGCTTTAATTCACGGAAGCCCTAAGTAGCAAATGCATACCTCACACACCGAAGTCCTGCCAGCGTAGGCTACACACCTCCAGGCAGCCACACCTGCTCATCCTCCTGACCAGACCATGCTTCCTTCTTTGCCTACCTGGTTATGTTCCACTCACCTTCAAAAGAGCCGTCCAAGCTGATATCCTCTGCAGAAAGCCTGGCCGGACACCCCACACACTCAGGTTAGGGGAATGCCTGACAGGTGTTCCCATGCCCCATGTGGTTAATGCAAGTACAATAATAACTCAAGTCTCATGATATAATTGCCGAATTTTCCTTCAGTATTGTGTGCTACAAGAATAGCTTTACTACAGGCTACAATGCAGGACTATGAACCTGCAGGACCACCAAGGGGCTGGACCTGCCTTGTAACTGCTCATTATGGGCTACCCTACCACTGCATTAACTGTGCTCTACAGACTCCATTTGTTTACTTCTCTGCCTCCGCCAGCACAGCATTAGTTCTTGGAGGCATTGACACTGCTAAGTATAACATCTAGCACATAGTAGTTACTCAGTTAAATCATGTGCTAAGATAAATAAATGAATTTTCTAAAGGTTTGTGTGAGGCACAGAGGACTAAATACCATGCCAAATAGGAAGGTCCCTTTCCTAGGAAATATTGGGTAGAAAGTCAGATAAAACAGTATGTTTTGTAAGCTGTGTAAGTGTAGTCTACCCCAAGCTGAATGGCCTCTTCTGGGTCCCCTATAACTCATGATTCTATAAACATGTTAGGAGTATTTTTGTAAATGGTTTTAGGAAAACATACCAACAATCATGAAGCCTAAGCAACTAGCAAGTCCCTGGAACATTTTGAATGTTTAGTCAGGGTCCTGCAGTGCAAGCAAATGGCTTCTCCATCTTGTTAGATTTCTTAGTTAAACTGCCGCGTGAAACCCTGAATGCTATATGTAGTGCATTCTTGATCACATTTAAATTATTATTTTTATGCAAATCTACACGTTAGATGTTAAGAAACAACAGAGTTCTGAAGGTGAGTCGGATCCCAAAGTTTGATGTTAGCCACTGGCCAAGAGCTAACAGACAAGGAGATGATGTTTTCTGAACACAAGATCGGGGAGTCCCTTGACGAGGCAGCTGATGTCCTGAAACAGGAGGACTGGGACTACTGGCTTGCAGTGAGAAGGAGGCGAACCTTGTCATGGAACCTGACGGTTTTAATGTTGTCGAACACAGTCAGCAAGTGGGCTTGTATCGTGTGGGAGTCGGACGCCTGCCCCAGGATCTCCAGGAGAGCAGGATCCGAGACGAAGAAGAATCGAGGGAAGCACAGCCGCTTCTTCTCCAAGTACCTAAGAGGAGAAGAAGGAAGCTGGACTTCTCAGGAATGAATTCATCTGGCCTGGGCACGGAGAAAGGATGTGGGACAATCTAACCTTCCTGCAAGATTTAATGTACTGGGCTTCTCAAGAGTGCCCTGCATTCTGATGGGGAAACTATTTTCTTTTCAGAACTGATGGCAGAATGTTGTTTTGTTTTTCATGAGCAGAAGGGACACACATTCTGCGTAGTCTGGAATCTCTCATAGTTCATTTGCAGAGAACGAGATAAAATATACACCGAGCTTTGGAGGATTTTCTTTGTTTCGTTCTGTTTTGAAAAACAGCAAAAGGTTCTGTATCATTCTTGGAAGAGCATCTGAAAAGAGAACCTACCAGTCTAGAGCAGCCACACCTCAGCTGCACCACCACGGGGTTCTGCCTTTAGGAGTTCTGGAAACCCAGTGCTTGCTACAGGGGATCAAACTCGGGACCTTGCGCTCCCAAAGTAGGTGGCAGAACCACTGAGCTAGATCCCCAGCCCGGGTTTTGCTCCTTAATGAGGGGGTATTACCATTGTGATTTTTGGTCTGTTCTGCTCTGCTCTGCAGCCCAGCTGAGCTCTAGGCTTTTGTTCTGGGAGTCCAGATCGTGCCTGCTTCCTTCCTTAGTCCAGAACTCTAGGTTTATGCAACCCACTGTGCCTGGCATTACCTGCGGTTTTAATCACTGTCTCTTCCTCAAACTACTAGTTCATTTCTACTTGAAATCTTTTTTTTTAATTTCTACTTTTCCCTTGTCATTTTATGATTTACTGATCCCCTGTGTACAGCTGTGAGGAACCATCCCTATATTGTAGGAGCAGAATTCTCTTCCTAAGAAAATGAGTTTTCACTTGAGGATTAAGTTGGTCAGGACCAGCAACCTGGAGGTCAGGCCTCAGGGGATTGGATGAGGTAAGCTTGGCCTCCACCAGCAATTGCTGGGCTTGTTTTGGTGAGTAGGATGGGGCGGCTTGGGAGAGAGCTGAATTTCTCAAAACAGAGGGCGGGACATTTTCAGAAAGAGGCAGAGGATTAAGAAGCTATGCAGGGAGGTTCCTTGTAAGTGAGTGATTGGGGAAGAGATGGACACATTTCCTGTGATGACAGTGGAGTAGCCTCGGTGTGTGGGTTGTGACCAATCCTCTCCTCTCTCAACCAGGAGGCTTCAGTAGAATATGTATCACGCTTCTGTGTGGCAACTGGACTTACTGACCTTGGGCGTGTGGAAAAGCGCGAAATCTGGCAGAAGTGGGAGGCCAGAAAAGAGCACAGGATCAAAACAGAGGCAGGCCCAAGAGGATGTTTTCTTCCATCCTTCATTTCCTTAGAGTCTTACTCCTGTGCTGTAACATTTCATGTTTTAGATTTCTACTTCCCTTCCTTTAAGGCGATTGATTATAATCTTTGAATATCCTAATCCCTCTGATTGGTGTCACTTTGACTTTTACTCTTAGTTAAGTGCCCTACTGATTCTTATTTCTTACATCTTGTCCTCCTCACAGCAGCCCAGTCTGATTCTGGTGATGACCAGTAATGTTTCGAAGCAGTTAGGGGCTGGCAAGAGGCACGCAGCGTGTGCCAACCACGTATGGGGCACAGGGTAGCGAGAGATGACAACTCTCGCATCTCAGAGATGCTTCCCTTTAATTTGTACCCTAATCATGGCCTGGCTGCTCTGCAGATTCTTTTCAGTCCAAGATCCTAAACATGGCTCGGGAGGATATGGTTTTTATGTAAATATGAGAACTCAAATGCTTTTACTGAGCTCGTAACTTCTGGCTCATAACCTCTTCTTGGTAAAAGAATCAAAAACTAGTAAAAAGGAACACATCTGTCAATAATTTGAAAGCAGACTTTTCCTCCATGAGTTATAAGATAATGCCAAAATATCAAGCACTAGGGTAGAATACGTGTGTGATAAAAAAAGAAAGAATGAATGATAAAAACGGGGGTGGGTCTGTACTTGCATCCGTGCTGGCGGAGGAAGATGAGAAGGAAGAGACACCAACCCTGGGGTAGGCAGGTGAGTACTGCGAGTCCTCAGCAAATCTCTGTGATGACCAAAGTGACAGGGTATCCCAGTACCCCTGGCCTGTTAGTCTTTCCACCTTGAAGAGCCCAGGGAGCATGAGGACCTTCTAACCCCCTTCCTGAGGCTCTCGGGTCTGATCCTGGTGGTAGACTGAATGGTGTCCAGTCAAGCCCACCTAAAAACCATGTGGTGTTTGCCACACAGTAGCCCTAATAATCCTCATGGAGACGCGGGTGATCATTTGAAAACAAAAGTGCTTTTCTTGTCAAATACCGTTCAATAATTATTTGACATGCCCTGCCTATTTTACAAAGCAGGCCAAATCATTAATACAGAAGAGTCTATTTTTCTAAAGAGATGCTTTGGAGGACTTACTTGCAAATGGTTTTGCCTTAAAGTAGACATTTAAAGGGTGCTTCACTAACATTGGCATGGCTATGATTGTGGTATTTAATAATGCTGCTTCGAAGAGACTTCTAACAAAAGGAAGCAAGCTGATACTATATAGCACAGCACTTTGAGATACCCTCACCGAAACTGGAGGAAACACACAAAGATTTCCTGAAGAAAATCCTTGCCCTACCTCAAGCTCCTACTGAAGTACCCCACAGACGGTCCTTCCACCTAGGTATGGCCCGGCACTGGTAAATATTATATCCGACACTCACCTTCACACAATCCTGACCCCTCACATGAGGACTAAAATAAAATATGTTTGTTCTACAGATGCTTTTTCCAAGAACAATATCAGGAAATAGGTATAGCATTTTCAAAGCCGAGACTATACGAGAATATTTGCAAATCTTATCACAGTGAGGAAAGCAGCCTGAATCCTGAGTCCAACATCAGGACAAATTTGAGTGCTTAGAGAGAATGTGAGGTTCAACGGCACAGCACCTTCACACAGAAATTAAACTTGAGCCATGGAGAACTAATCTGGCTGCTGCTGTGCACTCCTCCTGCCCCCTTTTCTCTGGCAGGTTCAGAGAGCTTACCCAGTGAGGGACTTCTGGCATATTTCCAATTGGTCCAGCAAGTGTGGTAACAGCCGCCCCATCACCTCATCTCCCACACAGCACTGGACCACGCTGGGCATTTCGTGGGCCCGAGTCATGATCTTCACCCAAGATTTATCTATATTGGAAAAGCGCTTGGCTTCCTGGAAGAAGGAGGGAACAAAGGACATCTGGAGACATCTGTCATCTCAAGGGCAGCATCTCCAGTGCCTCCCAGCGATACCACAGACATAACCAGGCCGGGTACCCAAGCTACGTGTGCTTAGGGTCAGACACATTCCCATCAATTTAATTCTCCTCTGCTCTACTGTACCACACCACCCTCCTTATTCAGGGTCTTTAGCCCAAGCTTGACACGCCCATCAAATAAAAACAAGAAACGGGTGTAAAAATAACATTTTACAAGAGAATCTAGAAGGAAAGGACAGCCCCAATTGTTTGCATCAGTTATCTCTAAATGGAGTGAACTTTCTAGTTTCAAGTTTTCCACAATGAATGTTGGGTTGTTTGTGGGTTTAGGAAAATATTTAAAAACAAGAATATGAAATTAGTTCTAGTCAGATTCTAAAGTTGCAAAAAACATCTTAACATGTTTTCAGAAAAAAAAATGGGAGATGTACAGGTTATTTTGAGAGGGTAGGAATTATGGTTTTCTTCCCTAAAACTGTCTATATATAGTATTATCAATGAGCATATACAACCAAAGTGAGCAAGAAACTCCACTTAGCTCCTTAAATATTCTGTGTGAAAGTTTCCATTGTGATGTCCAAGTTTAGATTCTTTTTCACCATCGAGAAGAAAAGTGTGCACAAGTATAACAGCAAAATGATTAAATGAATATTTAAAATTTTAGCCATAAAGGATGAGAAACTAGAGACATTTCTAGCTAAATGGATGAACCTTGAGACCATACCCTTAAGCGAAATAAATAGGACACAGATGTGTACAGACTGAATTGTTTCTCTGGTGCAAAAAAACTGAAAGTGTAACTGAGGACCGAAATGTATAACTGATACTGTGAAATAGGAAGGAAAAGTTGAAAGGAGAAGGGAAACTAAGGGGAGGAAAGAAAGAAGGGAAAAAAATGAGAAAAGAAGGAAAAATGTAAACAAACCTTTTGTAAATAGGGAGGGATGGAGAGGTAAGGGAATGGGAAAAAATAAGAACCAAGATACATCTGTACAGGTACAAATTCCTAATGATGAACACGATCATAATGTACACCTACAATGCACCAATAAACTAAATGAACAAAAAATAAATAAAATTTTAGTGTGTGAACATGCTTCACAGTGGACCAAAAAAATAAATTTCCTGGTGTATGACTAACTAACGTATCTGGCTTCTATAATTAAACTGAAAACTTATCAAAGAGAAAGTTGCAAAACCTAAGTGAAGTGAATAGTCAACATCATCATGCCTTCAAAACTCAAATATATTGTTAAAATGTTATAACCTTGCAAACAACTTAAGGTAATTGAATAAGAGTTCTTGAAATTTGGTTGAAATGTCTTTTAAATACTCAAAATATACCCCATGTATACTTAGCAAGATAATTACAATCTCATGATAAAAATACACCCAGTATCTCGAGAATGTCTTTTTGTTTGGGAGCTTTTGTTTCTTGTTGATTTCCACCCCTCAATTTTACAATACCAATATAATTTAGTACATTGTACAGTGTGCATTATTTTCAAACGTCAGTAGTAGCTGAACAAATTATCCTACCATTGTCAAGATAACTACGCCATAATTCTACACTGCTCCACACTGCACTTCGAAATTTTCTGAAGAAGCACACCATTATGCAGGAGTTTATGCTTTGCTTTTTTAACCCTCAAATTTCTCATCAAACATCACAGTTCCACAGCCTCCTCCCTCTGATTGTCATCTCTTTCCCCTTCCACAGTTCCTCACTACCTCTGCAGAATAACACCATCAGCTCTGAAAACAAAAATACTGGGGAGGGGAGTGTAATAGAGACTAACATAGTATTGCATTCTTTAAGAGGCTATTGGTTCTTTGACGTTTCTCTAACTAAGAGACACAGTGGGATCATAAAGAAGTCTCCAAAACCTTGGGCAGCTGCTTGGCAATGTCTCCCCCCACGAAGACGGCTTCCAGATAAACCCACAAGTTCTGCACAGTCATCCAGTTCTCCACAATGTCAGTCGAGTTGGAAAGGTACTGCACCCATTTCTGAATCTGGGCTTTGAATGGCATGTTGTATCTAAAATTTGAAAATGAAAAACAAATGTTCATCATTTTCTTTTTTGTTGTTTTCACAATAAAAATTCTTCTTCGCAATCTTAGTTTTCAAGCTGTTTCTCTGGAAGTTTGATTGTACTGCTGGTTTGCAACGTGATGATACTGAGTGAGTACTTTGTCGCCAATTGCTGTGTATTATTAGTCTAGCTTTTTATATTTTGTCCAGAGCATAAAAAGTGATGAAGACTCATCATCTAAGGAGCAGATCAGGTATACAATTTGATTCACCCCACTCCTGGAGCAATTTACCTGGCCATTGTTACTGGGACTGAAAGTAACATTCTCTCAACTGAGTTTCTGGGTGGTGAGTTCCCCCACCCCAACACAGATCATTTTTATATAATTTGTGTATGGGTGTGTGTCTTCTCTTCCCCAAGTATGCTGTCATGCACTCATCCTTCATTCTGGTGGGGTAGGAATAGTGACTAAGTTTGCTAAAACCAAATCTTGAGCAGTCCAAATTTGACATTACCAATGCTCTAAATCTCCAAGATCTAATTTTATATTCCATGGGACTTGTATGTATGAATAAATGGAAAACAAAGGTATTTTTATCAAGATGGCATTAAATAGATAGCACCTCCTATACTAAAACACAATATACAGCTAGAATATCACAATAAAATTATAGCTCAGTAGTGTCCATATGTTATCCAACTACTGTACGTTTGAGATCCTGATGACCAAAAAACTATCTTCAAAAGCACAAAGGGAAGGTCATTCATTGCTTCGAGGAAATGTAAGTTCATGAGTCCAGGTTTACATGTCTATAATGTCACAGCAGCACTGATTCCATTCGATTGTCCAATGGAGGAGTTACAGTGGCACCTGTCTAGGCCATGTGACACATCTTTATGAATTAAGATCATTGTCTATCTTGGTCTGAGTAAGAGAGGCCAAGTCATCTCATTAAAGTATGAATTTCAACTAAGAATGAATTAAACTAAGAATTTCTTTTTGGCGAATGTTGGCAGAAAGTTTTTTTCAAGTGGAATGATCATTATCCTGCAATTCAAACTACAGTTTGGAATCTGGAGTGCCTGTTGAGCTGTCAGCTATGCAGTGAGGCTTATTAGCAGCAAACTGACTCGTTTGGCAAGATCCAAGAGGATAATTCCATGGAGTGTTATTTTGTCCAATTGAATCCCTCAGATACATCCCACAAACACAGCATAGTGGGAAAAAACCAGGATAGGGCATGCTGTGCCAAAGGCTAAAATTAAGAAAGTTTTTCATTGCTGAATAAATTGCACGCAGGGTACTACTGCACTGCATTTTTTACTAATTTCCCTCAAAATATTTTCTCTTACGCTTCTCAAATGTAAGGGGAAAGATAGATGGTTTTCCTACCTGTTGCTCAGGAGGGAACCCAGCAACATCAAGCTGTCCTCCATGTTGGCAATGATTTCTGAGGTGCTGTCTCCTCGCAGGAGGAGTTCTCCACGGGTTTTAAAGGTGCCAAATGTGAAGGTTTTGCTGTCCCATTCATTAATCACTTGCTTCAGCTTTTGTTCAATGTCTCGCTCTTTGACCGCACTGATGCAGATGTCCTGTCAAGACAGCAAGCTCTCTCTTTAGTACATGAAAGTCACATAACTTAAGAGTCCTAGCACAGCAGACAGCCTGTCTTCGCTACGTGCCTCATGTGTAGCTAAAATGTTCCAGGTGTCAAGTGCAATATAACATGTGGGCCATGTATAAATGTGTGTGTGTGTGTGTGTGTGTGTGTGTGCGTGTGTGCGGGGAGAGAGAGAGAGAGAGAGACAGAGAGAGAGAGAGAGAGAGAGACAGACAGAGAAGGAATCCAGCACAAGAAAAGGAAATAAGCAGAAATCTGATTTCTTTGTTTCTCTAGCCACATTCTCAGTTTCTCCCACAGCTTCATCTTTCCACGGACGATTGGTTGAGCCCTGTTGTTTCCCTCACTTCTCACACCACTGTCCCTTTCAGGATGAGCTCATCTATGCTCACGAGTTCAGTAACGTTTCAGATCTCCAAGTAAGACTCACATCCACTTGCCGGCTGAGATTCTCTATATGGATGTTTCAACAAAACCCAAGCACAGCCTGTGAAATACCAAACTCATGCCCAAAGTCAAGCTCATGATCTTTGCAGCTTGTTGCCCAATCTGATTCCCTTCCAATACTAACTTCTCGGTCCTACGAACAAACATTCAGACCTCTCAGCAGGAAGTCACCAGTTCACACATCTGTTCCCCGTTCTCCCCAAACACATTCCCTCCACCAACAAATTCTTCCCAGTTTTGGTTCCTCAAAATCCCTTAGATCTGTTCTCTTTCTAGCTTCACTATTTCCTCCTCCCTTCCAGCAAACCTGAGTTACTCTTAAAACTCCTCAATTAGCTTCCCATCCTTTGCCTCCTGCTCTTCTTCAATTCTTTCTGTACATCCAGGATGAGCTTACAAAATGCAAACCTAACAGTGGCTTTCCCTACTGCAAACGCATCTCCCAGGTGGTTCTCCCTTCAAAGCATGCTCTAGGCCCACTCTAGTTCCCTGGCCCCAACTGTTTCCTTGCTCTCCTCCTCCATACCCCAGCCACACACCAGCATCTGCTCCTCCTGCACACACGATGCTCTCTGTGCCTGGAATGGTCTTTTTTTGCACTAAGTCCCACGTGATTCCATTCCCTTCACCCAGCCAGGTTTGCACAAACACCCCTGCTTTCCCTGCCCTGGTCATCCCCAAAGGAGACAAACACCTTTGTAAAAGACTCTTGTACAACAGTATACATTTCCTTAAGTGATATTTACTATAATGTATAACTGTTCTTTAACTTACATAGCATTTCACTATACTAGTTAATGATCTATGAATGCAGAAATGCATATGTGCCCAGCACAGAATTTGTCACATGGAAGGCTTTCGATACACACTTGTTGCAGAAATGGCCGAATGTCAGGAATGAAGTTGCAAACGTCCCGACGTGGTTTACTCTAAAGATACAGGAATGCTACTACATCCTATGAGATCATCCAATCTTCTACCACACAGTAGTGTCTACCAGCTGTACCTCTATTTCCTCTTTGTATTTCAGAAGAGGTGCCTCCATAATATTCCTTAACTTGAAGGTTTCGCTCCCCACGTCCAGACTGTGCCCGGTGAGAACGGTGATCCTCTCCCAGTGCCTATCCATCATGGCTTTGCTGGCCATGTATTCCAGCAGGGGGCAGCACTCGCTGAAATCATCAATGGTCTTCTTCAAATCCAAATAAGCCTGCCAGTCTTTCAACGCCCGGGGCAGCTTCCGACACCTGCGGAGGGAAAATCGACACGAAAGGCCACGAGAATATGAGCCAAGACATCACCAATCCAAGACTATCTGCTAACACTTCTATCAAAAACAGTCTCTACAAATACCTATTTCATTTGAAATCTCATGATGTAGAGGCTGTTACTACAATATACTGGCACATCATACACAAAATTGCTCCTCCAAATCAAGAAAGTTTTTTTTCAATCTCTCAAAACATTTACCCAGGTAGAAGCAGCACTTCAGAGGGTACAAGTCCCTTGTAATGTATTTCAACTCTACAAACACAGATTGAGACCTTAACACAGCAAAGCACAACAGAGTGTACCAGGTATTCATGTAATATGTACAACAAATGATCTTCCTTTCCTTGGTTTTAGTACTTAAAGCAATGTTGAAGAATCATGGGTTTCTTGTTTTACTTTAGAAAATTATCTAAAGCAAACTTTGAATATTTGATCAGTGCGATACAAACAGATTAGCTCCTCCCAACCTACAGAAAAGAGCCTGACAAGATTCATCTCTGATTAAAGGGTGTGCTGATCTCATTTCGTGCACACAGGGGAAATCAATAAAGAGCACTTGACACTGATGACGCCAAGAGACAACAACGGTGCCCCAAGATGTGCTTTCAAAGTACCTGGGATGTAAAGAGAGCCTGGCAGCCTGTCACAGAGGAAAGTGTTTGAGGCCCGACAGCTCTGAGTATGTGAAACTTTTCCTTCCTTACCTGTTCTGCAATTCTAAGAGTTCGCTGTTGATGTTTTCAATATTCACTTCTGACCAAAGCGTATCTTGATAACTATTTACAGTCTCTAGGACCCTGTTGTACAGCGTGTATATTTTCTGAAGAAGATTTAACTGTTTCTTTATTTCAAGAAGCTGGGGATACTGGGTCACGGGCAGACCAAAAAGTTCCTCTCCTCCAGTATAGGTGATGTATTTCCGATAGATATTATCAAATTGATTCTAAAACAAAAAAGAGGGGAAACTAATGGACATGGTTTGTGGGAATGGAAACAGAAGCCTGGGGAGCAAGCAAGAGCGTCACCCCTGAGCACGTGAGGAACACTAAACTAGTATGACAAGTTCACAGGAATTGCTTCTAACTGTAACCACACAAAATCATATTTCCCAAAAGGTAAGCACATTCTGTGTTGCAAAATAAGCAGCTCTCGCTTTAAAAAGTATACCTGTTTAGAATCTAATAGGATTTAGAAAGATAGAAAAATGGAAAAGATTACCTGAAACATCATAAGCCTATCACTGGCTTCCTGGGGACTCAAGCCACTTGCCATTGGACCATTCTGAAGCAAAAAGTTAAAAAACATAAAACAGAATTAAGGGTTCATGTACAAATCTCATGAACTCTAACTATTTGAATATCCAAGTTGATACCCGTGCATGTCACATACAGGATAGGAAATCATTTTTCATTTGTAAAAAGGACTCAGAAAGTGATGTGCTTGGAAATATGGTAAACTTCCCTAAGTTAAAAGACTTCGGAAAAACTTTTAAATGTATTATTCATTTCTTAGGTGACAGAGGCAAAGAAGAGTCAATAGCTCCTCTGGGAGAAGCACATATCTCTGGCTTGGAATAAAAACACAAGTACATTAAACTCACAGATTTCATCATTCTAATAATAATTGTTAAAGTGAACCATAATCTAAAATGTTTCAACAAGATTTTCCTACATGTGACACCTTGAACATGTTAATTTCTCTGCTTCTTTATCCATTCACCAATCTCCTGACATGAGCTTTGCGCTTCGGCGTGCTTCTAGTTAATCAGTTCAAAGTTTAACTTACACTTCATGTATGTATTTCCCTTCTGCACCACATTACGATAGAATAGAAAGGGATTTTGCTATATGACACATTTCCACTAGAAGACTCTGCTCTAAAATCCATATGACTGAAACACGACTGACTGAGGGCTCTATGTGTCTTGGTCACCACTGAGTTTTCAGCACAAAGGACAGAGCTTGGCACCTTCTGGATTCCTTAGCATTTGTAGAACTAGGAAACACTGCATACCCAGTACTCTAGGAGGCTGACCCAGGAGGATTACAACTAAGTCTAGCCTGGATACATTAACAACTCAATGAGAGCCTGTATCAAGCTTTTTAAAATACAAAAAGGGCTGGGAATGTACCTCAGTGTGAATATCCTGATTTCAATCCCCAGTAATGCAAAAAAGGAAACAACGGAAGAAAAAAAAAAACTGCGAAAAGGAGGAACAATACTGTGTTTGAATGGTATTTTTCTACATACATTTACAAAGCTATAATTTCAGTAACAGAACAATGATGCAATGTGAATACTTCTTTTAAATTCCCCATTTCATGTTGAAATGACTCTGAATGAACTCTAAGGGGAAGGAAAGGGGAAGGGAAATGCTTTTAACTGTCTTGAAAATAAAACATGTGCATTCCTAAGGAATATCTAAACAATGACTACTTTTCATATATTCTATCCACTCTTCCCTGAAAATACAGACAACGCCAGAGTCATACCAAATCATAGTCCAGGTAAAACTGGCGACAGTCTTGGAGGAAAATCCCCACGGTACCAATAAGCTCCTTCCTGAAAGCGGGCTGCAGGGACACTAATTCATTGTGCACCTCACTGGCCCTTGCCAGCAGCTTCTCCCAAGCATAGCGCAGCGTGTCCACTTCGTCCATCTCTTCCTTTGCTATCAGAAGTCCATATTTGTTAAGCAGGGCATAAGATTCCTACACAAAGAAGAAAATCTTACTGTCTGCCTGTTGGGGGCATCAATCTACAACCGCTTGTTTATTGAAGCATAAGAACAGAAGAGACCAGCGCAATAGTGAACTCACCCTGACAGCTCAAATTATTCTACTAGCAAACTGCACGAGCTTCACTGAACTAAGCCACGCAGCTCCAGTTCACCTACACAAAACACGGAGGCTGCATCTGATCCTGCCCATCGGAGTGTAAGTCCAGATGTCTGAATTACAACGAGGCAAAATGACGGTGTTTGTATGTCTGGAATCTCTCAATGTTACAAATGATACTAGCATGTGTAAAAGGATAAATATAATGACCACATCTGATAAGATGTTTTCCTCTGGAAAAGGTAGCATAGTATAAAAATAAACGTGATGTGTAGCACTGACTCAATCGCATAATGCCTTTGACGCTGTTTCCTTGTGCATGAATACTATTAGGCTGTTATTATCCCAAGGAGGTACAGCTTATTGGCTGGGATTCCCATACCCAGCTACTCAAAGTGTTGGTTTTAAGTGCTGCTGCTTCTTCCAGAGCAAACTGTCATCAGCTGAATGGGATGCGTTTCATAAAGATGTCCACAGTCCTGGGAACTGGAGGGATGGTATCCCTTGCCCAAAGGTGAGACTGTGTGGTGCAGTTAATGCTGCAGATCTGCTCACAGGAAGAAGGTGAAATTGCCTAGAGCTGAGATCCCATGCTTGCTTAGTGTTTTCCTCAGTGTCCTTTCCTAAGTCGCACTCCCTTTCCCCAGTGAGCATTCATCAATAAATCATTTGCCCCAAAACCCTCGCCTCACACCCTGCTCTTGAGACCTTAGATTACTGGAAAAGGTGAGAACAACCCATGGAAGGAACCCCATAAAGGTCAGACATCATCATCTTCATTGAAGTTACTTTTCTTAGCTTTAGCGCCCATCTGCAGACATCTACACTGGACAGTAGTGCCAGTTACCTCAATGGGTCCAACTTGAAAATCCACGAGGATTTGCTGGTCCCTGATTTCTTTCAGTGCAGCCATTGCAATCCGAATATCATCTAGATCCTTAATTGGGCGGTTCAGTTTCTTACTGAATTCTTCGACAAGGGTAAAAATGTTTTCCATCTCACTCCTGTATTTTTTGTTACAGTGGCGGCCAATGACAACCATCCAGGCTTTGATCTCAGTAGTCAGGGCAAATTTCAAGTCAGCTGGAAAACCCAAATACCCAACGTTCAGTTTGGGAAACCTGAGTGGATGAAGACGCCATGCTACTGTTTGTTCATTGACAGTAAATTCTTTGCAGCTTATCATCCTCTAAAATATGAAAAATAAACTGGAGAAAGATATGTTTTTATAACCATTATATACTCATTCATTTTACAAAGCTAACTGTTGCAACAATTCAAAATACATTTCAGAATGCCAAAAATAAAAGTCAAAGCCCTCCGACATAACCCTCGAATGTTTGCTGTTGTCACTTACTAAAGGAAGTGTGAATCTTAACTCTAAATCCAACAGAATTATCTCCTTTCTCTAAATTAGCCTTTATTTTCAAGGTTTAATAGCAATGTCTTCAGAATAGTCCAGGATAAATAATTATGCAAAAGGGAATTAGAAACAAATCTACAAATCGGTCTTAAAGCTCAAGTCCCAATCTTCACGATAGCTACAACTCTCTGGAATACTAATCAAGGTAAAGAGACAGCACAACATTGTTGAATTTGTCTGAAAATCAAATGAACTAACCTGTGTACAGTGCAATGGGACCCACACAGATATACTCAGGCTCAGCATTAATTTCCTGTTCCAGGTTTTGGTAGTAAAGAATCTGGGACTCAAATTCAGAAAGCAAAGGGTTTTGTACAATAAACGTCATAATGGTTTCTTCTTTTTCCTTTTGCCAAATATGATTATAGCGTTTGAAGCAATCCATGGCTGCAATAACTTCCTAGAACCCAATAACAACAGATTTAGGTGGAGAAGGAAGAATCTGAAATGCTGTCAAGAAACAGGTGAATATTTTGCTGTAGCTGTCCCTATGGGGTTGTCAAAATGTTTAATGAAGGCCATTCCTTGGAAATGTACAGAACTGGGCTGCATACAATGATGTGTGGGCAGTAACCTAAAGCTACTAAGTTTCACTGTCACGTCCCTACCCAAAGGGGAGAAGAAGAGTTTCAAAAAACCACAAGAGAGAGCTTGGGAAGGTCCCTTTGGACATAGGCCTTTGCTTAGAGCTGGACAAAAAACAGCCTTCGTTCACTGTGAGGCACAAGGAAAGAACTGCTGTGAAGCCCTTCTCCTCTCTTCAGTCTCTCCAAGAGTCCTCCCCGGTGGAACCTACGGAAGCCGCGGCGGGAACCTACGGAAGCCGCGGCGGGCATCTACAGACGCGTTGCTGAGGGTCAGGCGGTCAGGCCGAGATGAAGAGGGAAGGGCAAACAACACAGCCAGCCCTGAAGGCCACTGAGAAATTTCACAGGACTGCCGGAAAACAGCAGTTATTTTAATAAAAAGTAATGCCCTTCCAGTGCTAAACATTCCCATCCTTATCGTCCAATCTTCTGCCAAAATTCTTTAAATTTTACTCATCTTCAAAAAGACCCCGCCCCCTGCACACATATTCTTAAATGCGTTCCTTAGTGTTTTTCAGGGATGTTGTTGTAAGCAAGGTCTGTTTCCACTGATTTTTATAACTGGTCATGTAAGCTGGAAAAAAAAAAGTGATGTTTTACAAATAACCCAATTAATAAATGGGCAAACTGAACAGACACTTACCAGTAAAAGTAATACAAACCACTATTAAACACATGGTAAAAAATGTTAAGCTTTGGTAAAGGACCTATGAGAATGTGAAACAAAATCACATTGACTTTCCTGATTATTTCACTGTTTCATCACAGTCAGAACGACTATCATTAAAAATACCTAAATAAATAAATAGAATGCCAGTGAGGATGTAGGGGGGAAAGGAATCTCTCTACCCTGCTGGTGGGCAAGGAAAGTATTAGAGCCACTGTTGAACTCAGTATAGAGTTTCCTCAAAAATCTAAAATCAGTGCTAGCATTTGACTCCGTCATACCACTCCTTGGCATGTTCCAGAAAGAATGAAAGCATGCCACAGTAGCATCTGCATACCCATATTTCCAATTCACTAAAGCCGAGCTATGGAATCAGCCTAGGTGCCTGTCAACGGACAAATGAATAAAATGAATTACACATACACACACACACACAAACACACACACACACACACACACACACACACACGCACGCACAAGTATTATTCGGCCACAAGGAAAAACAAAACCATGTCATTTTGAAGAAAATGGATGGAACTAGAGATGATCATGTTAAATGAACTAAATCAGATTCAGAAAGACAAATATCATATTATCTGCCATATGTGTGATCTAACCAGAGAGGGAAGGAGGGAGAAAGGGGTGGGAGGGGAGGCAAGGGTCGCAAAAGGAGATGGGAATGACCTCCGTCATGTACACGTATGAATCTGCCACAGTGAACCCCGTTCACCTGTTCAACCTATACGCACTAGTAACAGAAGCAAGTTTGACACCTTAGTTAACAGTTCAGTTTGCCACCAGTTCACATGCACTGGTAAACAGGGGTCAGGGACAGGACATCACAGTCCCAGGCACTGTTTCTCCTCCTGGCTCACCATCTGACAGTCACAGTGCATGCCACGGGCAGGCGGGGTCCAGCAGCCAAGCCCCTGTCCCACACAGTTGGTCCTGCTCTCTGTATATTTATTCCTCATTCCCAACATAAGCAGCCTTAGCAGCCCTTTTACAACCTTTTCCTGAGCTTCTTTCATTTTTGGTAACATTCTATAGTTTCTATAACACAATGAACATGTTAATATTTTACTGTATCACTTTTGTTATAGTCAGCACGACGTTACTTTTTATGTGTCAGCCTCAATCTCACTTTATCAATCTCTATTATTAATGTTAAATGAGCAAGTTCATAAAACAGGAGAATTTTCAGGAACATGTTTGTTACCACAGTATCAGAAACTCTGGTTTCTTTCAGCTGACTACTAACTTCACACTTGTTGCTGTGTTTTTTTCAGATTCTCCTCTCAGATTTACTCGCTAGATGGTCCTGCTGTACTGTCTACAGATAACTTAAAAATTGCCTCCTCGCTTCTAACATTTATTCCTCTTGGAGATCAAGTTTTTCCACTGACTCACATATGCCTTCAGAGTCATATCTGCATAAGAAAAATGTTAATAACTGAGACATAGCAAACACAAACATCTGAAACAATAGCACATTACCAACAGGGCTCTAACGTGTACAACAATTTCCCATTTTCTGTACACTGCATTAACCTGCGCCAAACCCAGGAGAAGTTAAACTCCCTCCTGTGCCCAGCTCAAATGTCCCTCAAAGGCTCACATTTGATGTGTGTTGATATTTTCCATGCACTGAAATGCAGAGAGCTAAGCTTGTCCCTGCCTGGCTCCCACAGCTGATCCCCTGGAATGGACTGAAATGTTCACCTGTAAATCCAGAACACCCTGCAGCAGCATACAGACATGATCACAAGCATATGACTCTCTGGGGACTGAACTTCAGATTATCAAAGTCTCCTGGATGTTAAGTAGAAATTCCAGAGTCCTGAGCTATCTCAGTACCCATGAGGCTACACTATGAAGAGTCTACCCTGACTAATAAGTCTCAGTCTTACATTATCTGAAAGTGTCCATCTTTATTAAAGTGGAGCTTTTTTAGAGTAGAGGTAATTTAGAGCTAAAGAACAAAAAATCATATGAACGATGTATGTAGAGCTGCTCTGATTCAACTACTACAGTATAAGGCTACTTGATTCAACTACGACAGTACAAGGCTACTTGGATTATGTTGATCAGCTCCTCATCCAAGCCAGGTAGAACTACAGACCAATGGCCAGTGCACGGATGTGCTGGATGTAGGCTGGGTTTGCACTCTGACTCAACCAACTACAGCAAGAGGACAAGGTAGAGAGCACAGGGTTTCCTGTGGCAGAAGCAGAATCCTTCAGAAGGGTCCAGGGCTAGGGAAGGCTGGCCATGTCCAGTACGGCGACTGAGTGTGCATTCATTGTTTTAGAAACAGTTTGGCCCTCCTATGAATCTGGAAAAAATATCTTCAAATCATTCGCAGTGCCACTCTTTCTACTATTTTAGATCTGTACCTTTCCCTCATATAAGACAAAAGAAATGCAACAAAAATGAGAAAGAGAAGTGCCTTCTTGCCAGCAATATGTTTATATTGACTACGACGTCTCATCTTTAGATTTCTATGATAGTGGCTGATTATACCAGAGACTGTGCCACTACTATGGACTTCACTGCTGATTTATTTTATTGAATTTTCTACAGTTACTGAGACATGTGAAAGTACATCTGACAGAGCATTACTATAGTACAGACAACTTACCTTTACCATTTAGTGTAGAGCCCAATAAACTAAGCATTAGACAAACATTTGTTGAATTGTGTGACCACTAGCCCGAGGGCAAAGTCAAATACCATACCTTCCATACACCAAGGAAGGAAAATTAAATGTGCATCAATGAGAAAGCTTCCCTTGGGGGCATCTTACAACCAGGCTTAAAAGCACTTCCTCACTCTGTCCCAGTGATGGCATTTCCAAACACATGCAGCTCATTCCAGAAAAACTCAGCAACCCAACAGGCGCATTTACAGAGTTACAGATCCCCTGCCCCAGGACCAAGAAACTCTTTGAAAAGGTAAGCAAGTCTTAGTGTAATGTGAATATGGCTGTTTATCACTCTAAAAAGAAATTCTTTTCAGGGTTTTCGGCCTTTTTGACAACAAGTACAAAATTATCTAAACAAAAAAAAGGGGGCAGAGTTGAGAATAAAGCAAGTTAGAAGAAAAAAATTAACCTAAATTCATGTCCATGCCCAGTACGAGTTTGTGTGGACAGGGCGAATTTCCAGTTTTATCTAATTTCCATATGGCAATACAAATTTTCTTCTGATATATATATTTTGTATGATTTGCCTGATAGCACAAACATGAAAAGTTGACTGCAAGCCTTATTCTCCTTGACTCCTTGAAGGTCAATTGTAACATCTGTCTTGTGCTCTAGGAAAATATTAGATATTTTCACGGTCGGATTGATTTGTATTGAAAGGAGAGGTTAGAGGCATAAAACAGAACACAATGTGAAGGAGGGAACAACAGTTCTCCCTCCTCTGCACCCTCGAATGAAGTCTGCAGGTAATGAGCATGAGCTGTGTGCACATAGGATGCCTTCGTGGGCTGCGGGCACCGTGGGTGAAGCCAGATCACAGGCAGGGAGAGCTGGTAATATCCAAGCACAGGCACCTGTGGGGAAGCAAGGGGCCCGCACGGCACCTCTACACGTACCTTTCTGGTAGAACTGATGATGGTGCTAAGCACAGACACTAATTTCACAATCTCTTTGTTGTCAGAAACACTCTTATAATAGTTCTTGGTTTGCACAGGGATGGGTAAGTTCACTGATGCCACCTCCAAGGTATCTAAAGCCAAAGAAAGAGAAAGATGGATGTTTATGTCAACAGGATGAACCATGTAATTTTAAAAGGTGAGATTTCTGGATCGGTGAAGTAAGGATGCAGAAAATCTTCCTCTTTATAAAAGCAATGAAATAATGAGAAAAGTGTTGCTCTGATTTCCAGGACTCTGGAAATTAACTAAAGCCTACGGCAATCTAAAAAATGTTAATTAATTCAAGAATAAAAAAAGCCAGATCTTGATGATAGTAGGAAGCTTTTAACTTGCCACGCTCTCGTTTGTCTCCTCTCTGGCTATGCAGCAGCCTGTCTAGAAAAAGCCCGGCTAAAGCAGCAGATGGAGAGACTGAGCACCTAGGGCTGGGCCCAGCTGGAGGCGGTGAAACGCGAGATCCAGGCGCTGCAGCTGCAGAGGATGACGCAGAGGACGGTGCACAGGGCCTGGGGCGCGCGCTGGATCACTTGAAAGCTGAAGGAGATGTGGCGGCTCTGGATCCACACATCCAGCTTGTGGAGGAGGAGTCGGACCGGGCTCAGGAGCGACTGACCGCAGCCCTGAGAAAAACCGGAGGAGGCAGGAAAGGGTGTAGACCAGAGCGAGAGGAGAATGAAGGTGACAGAAAGCCGGGCCATGAAAGGTGAAGAGAAGATGGAGATCCAAGTGCAAGATCTGCAGCTCAAAGAGGCCACGCACACGGCCGAGGAGGCTGACGGCAAATACGACGAGGCAGCGGGAAGCGGGTCAGCCTGGACGGAGAGCTGGGAAGGGCAGGGGAGGTGTCCGCGCGAAAATGCGGTGACCTGGCAGACCAGCTCAAGAATGTCCCTAACGACCTGAAATCGCTCAAGGCTCCGTCTGCAAAGTATTCTGCAAAGGAGGATAAACATGAAGAGGAAATTAAACTTCTGTCTGACAAACTGAAAGAGGCTGAGACCCGCACTGAACGGCTGCAAAACTGGGAAAGGCCGTTGATGACCTGGAAGAAAAACTTGCCCAGGCCAAAGGAGAGAGCATGGGCTTACATCACACCCTGGAGCAGAAGCTAAACGAACCTAACTGTACATAACCAAAAACGGAAGAGTCTTGTTCCAAAAGAAACTCCAGTGTCATTCTCTTTGCCTTGTAAGAAGTTTCTTTTGTTACTGCATCTTCGCTTTTCTGGAAATGTGAGTACGTGACCAAATATTCCATATCAGAGAAGCTTTGGGCACCAGTTTAATCTTCCCCCCCATTCTGAACTACACCAGCTTTTTCAGCTCTATCTTTATCCTTAAGTTGCATCTATTCCTGAGACAGGCAGAGTATCTCGTATTGCACATATTCTCAGGAGACCGAGGTCTGCTTTCTGGGAGAACAGTCAACACACTTTCAAGAACATGTGATTCTGATATCTAATAGTGGGCTTAAAATGCAAAAGAATGTACACTCTCTGAGTCACCAGGAGGCTAGGGACCAGCACAGTAGAATGGGTGGGGATTTTCTATCCAGACCAAAAAATAAAAAAGGGCTATAGTGGGAACTTATAGACCACAGCTCGATTAACCTAGTCATCCTGGCCTTCCTCCATACTCCACTGCAGGACGAACATCCTCTGAGCCATCGGCATGAGGATGCCTGGGAAATGGTCATATAATACTCACTCGAGTATTTTCTGGACACATCCTGAATGCTACTCTCTTCCACAGGTTTCATTCTAAAGTGGTTCTCTGATGAATGAGTGGCTCTCTGACTTTAACAATGGCCCACGCTTATCTGTTCTGACGTAAGGCTGTGCACACGGCAGGAAATGCTGTTTAATCCCATCAAGCTCACACATAGTCAGATGACTACTGGCCATCAAACCAAGCAAAATAATTGTTCTCTATCAAACATACTGGGCAGCAAAGTAGGGATCAAAAGTAATTGGTGTAGCTGCATCTCCCTACTTCAGGGGAATGTCAAATCAAAGATTTTCTTATCAGGGACTTGAATTCCTTCTTCAGGACCAAGTTAATAAAAGTTCAAGAAACTCCTGATTTAATTGGAGAATTCTGTAGGCAAGGGCTGCACATCTTGGCTTTGTTGTAGTTTTGCTTTCTCGTTTAACATCTCGGAGCAGAAATATTCCACACTCCCCAGTATGTGGGAGCCAACTGAAGTTTACAATTCTGACTAAAAACCACCCTGCTTCTAGCTTATCTGAATCCCCAGCCCCTCACTCCTATTTATTAAGTATCACACTACCCAGAAGATACACTAGAAAATTGTGCAAATGAATAAAATCCACACACTAGATTCTTGATACTGTATCATATGTAATAGTAGCACTTTTTCGACATTTTGGTCAAATAAATTTTTACAGAAACTAAATAAATAAACAAAACAACACATTGGAAATCTCCATAGCAAACCAGCAGTCGCTGGAGGGACAGGTGGGTTCGCAGCTCCCACAGAGTGGTCATTAACTGACATCTCTGGACTCTCCCAGGAAATGCAGCATTCATTCAAAGAACTCATCTTTATCTCATCCGATACAGAATTCCACTAATGAAAACAAATTCCGTTCTCATGGAATATGTCCGAATTGTAAAATCAACAGTTGCTTAACTGCAAAGCTACCTGACTGCAATCCCACTTATATGCAATGTCCCAGATTTGGCAAATCCAAACAGACAGAAGGTAGATCAGTGACGGACAAGGGTTGAGAAGGAAGAAGAAAGGAGAGTGACTGCTAATGAGTATGGAATTTCTTTCTGAGGATAAGGAAAATGCTCTAAAATTAAGTGACAGTCATGATTGCACAACTCTGTGAATATACTAAAAACCCCTAAATTGCACACTCTAAAAGGTAAATTAATTATCTCAAAATTGTTTTTAAAAGATGTAGTTTACTTCCTTAGCACTTTAATCATGACAAAACATATTCACGATTTTTATTAAATATCTTTTCTTCTCCACTTAAGATATGATTCATAACTGAAAATAAAAATTCTAAATTTTAAACTATTCTAGGAAGAAAAGCAACATTTCCAAATAATAAAAAGTGAAATAAATAACATATGCTTTCATGCCCTAAATGAATGAATAAAGAATATTGTAACTTATAGGGAAAGATGTTCTGACTTGTCTTTCTTCCCCTCAGAAACAGCAGTTTAATGAAAAAACTAGCTCAGCTTCTTCCTTGTGGTTAGTTGATTTATCGTCTCAGAGGAGAACAGCAACAAAATTATTATGCAAGATCTGCCATTTGTGGAGCTGATTTAGAAAGAATGTGAGAAAAAATATGTCATTTAATATCATTAGCCCCATGGATGTTGCCAGGGCTTAGATGTAAAATGTCCTCCAAAAGTCTCGCATTTGGAGATGGGGCCTGAACAAATGGAGGGCGTCCCTGGACATGTGATTTAGAAGGATGTATTCTTGTCCTCAGTTCCTCCTCTCTGGCCACAACTCAGTAGACAGCTTTTCTCCATGATGCTACTCTGCCACGCGGTTTCTGTCTTGCAGCCCCTGAAACAGAAACTGTGAGCCACATACACCTCTCCTTTAAATTGAGGGGGGTCTAGTATTTTGCTCCAGTGTCAGGGAAGCTGACAAATGCACATATCTTTTGCCTCTTGATTGACAGAGCATCAATGAAAACTACAGGATACCCAGTATCATGATATAATGTGGTAGCAAAACAGAACACCTAATGAGTGAAGAAATATCTCTTAGGTGTCAGGAAATATTCATTGTGATGATGGCAAGTTTCTTTTTAAACTTGTTAAAGCCCTACTTTTCCTGAGTTCTCATCCTTAAACTTTTTCAAAGCCCAGTGATGCCCCAACATCTGGGACAGACCCGCTTGAAGAAGACTTATAGTGATGACACTAAAATATTAAAATAGGCAGATCTTGGGTTTGTTTGTTTATTTGTTGTTGTTGTTGTTTGTAAACTTAAACTGACTCATAGATTAACAGTCCAATCTAACTTGATTTGAAAATTGCATGGGGGAGGAGGAAATGTTTAAGCTCAATGAATGTCCATTTGAAATGACTATCTATAAACAACTAAAAGAATGTTTACCTTGAAGTTCATTTTCTCCCATTTCAGAATCACTGTCTTCATTTTTACACAGAGCAGCCATTTTTCTTTCATGCATCTTTTTCTGTAATGTAAAAGGATATTCCTCAGCTTTGCCCCATCTATAAAAGAAGCAGTTTTCATATAAAACAATTTCCTGATCACCTTCCCACCTTGGACTCTGGCTCGCTGCTCCACTGTCTGACCCCCTTGGGGACACCAACGATACAATCCACAGCTTTGTTCAACGTCTGCTGTACATCCTCCAGTGCAGGCACCATGGCAATGTTGGGAATAGCCAAGGTCATGCCTGCCCGGAAAATAGGCAGTGTGTTCTGCTTCATCTTCAATGCACCATTGCTATCTGAATTAACACAAAGCAGGGAAGGATTATTATTTTAAATTCAAAAGGCAAGATTCACTTCATTTCTAACCAAAAAAAAAATACTTAAGGCACCTAGAACAACACAAAAAGGTACATAATCAGTGAGTATTTCTTGAATGAATGAATGAATGAACAAAACTATTAGAGGATCTGCTTGTGTTCAATACTATAACAGAAGTTCTGTAAAACTCAAGCCATTTTCTGGGGATCACAAATTGTCTGTCTACCCTTCATAAAATGCAAGTAGAGTATACCTAGTTTTCTCAGTTTTAATGAATGACTTCACAGAATTGTTGGGATGACCAAATTTCGTAATGTTTAGTTTTACAAGGGGGCGCTCAATAAACAGTGAGGGTTCAAATTACTTAAATTTAACAGAAACACACACACACACACATACACACACACAAGCAAACACTCCTGATCAACCAGTAGGTGCATGGTGTAGGATCATTACCCAGGAAGTTAACTGAGTGGGAGGAATAGATGCGCTTGCGAATGGCCTCCAGTGTATTCCTTGTAACTCTAAGAAGAGCATCTGTGTTCCGATGGTTGAAATGAGAGAGCAACTCGCAGGCTTCTTCCTCTAACATCTCAGTCTCCTTCTTCTTCCTTGTGCTTGCTGTCGAGGGCATGGGGCCAGCCCCAGAATTAGTGGAAGGTGTCAAGGCATTCAAATCTCCTTCTGCCCTTTTTGCTGTTACATGAAACAGATGGGTGGGGTGAAATTAAAGGGAGAAAGTTAAAGTAAAGATAAGCTGCATGCAAGTTCAATGTCATTTAAGTGTTGTGCTTCTTAGAAAGTGAGCCTATGAATGGATAGAAAAAAAGGAAATCGGGGCACAGATGGGTGGATGGATGAGTCCTCTCGGTGTGAGGAGATGGCCCATAAGAGATTCAGGGACAGATACAAAAGCTTCTCTGAGTCCCACTAGCCGTGTGGTGGGTTCTTTCTCCCACCAGAAACCCTAAAACCTCGAGAGAGTATCTGCCCTTCTCCACCTCTCAGGGTTCTCATCTGTCCAGCAAGGATTTCCTCTAGTCTGTGTACACTGCCATAGGGATTCTAATCCATAATCCCTCCTACTGTGTGGGTAACATGGAAACACAAGGCCTATCCCTACATGAATTAAAACAGAGGCATGTGTCAAAAAGGGAGATGTGAAGCACAGGTTGACAAAGATTAACACGAAACAATGGGAATGAACAGTATGGAATCACTACAAAATGGTCAGAATTATAATTTCAGATCTATAAACATCACAAAATTGGACAGCCTTGACAGAAGTGTGAAATTAATTGCTATGTAGAAAAATCATAGTTTTAAGTAAATGTTCTAGAAAAACAAGACCCTTTTGTGGCCTCATCTCTTACCTGGAGCTCTGTTTTCTGAATCAGCATTATTCTCATTGGATACTTTTTCATTTTCTTCCACATCCAGCAGCATATTTATTAGTTCATTGACTGCTTCCTCCACTAAGGAGCTTTTAAAGTGTAGTATCTGAGCACCGTTTACACAAAGGTCCTAACCAAAATGATAAAAGAGAGAGATGAACTCAGTGTCACATTGTCTCGCCGGTTTCTGAGAGCTCACTGGTAACAGCTGCAAAGCTGCCGATCCTGCCCTCCAATTGGGAGCATGGTGATGGATTCTATGGGAGATTAAACAGACAGACGTGCAGACAGATGATACGTCCAGGATATGCTATTTACCACGCAGCTAGAAAATAAGCCCTTGAAACCATGGACTCTCAGTGGTCGCAGTGTCCAGCTGCGTCTCAAGTCCCACAGTCTTGGGTCCTCTCTCCTTCCTGTGCACATCCCCACCAAACATCAGTCTCACGCTCTGTGACCTTTTCCTGCAGCGACCTTCACATCTACTGCAGTGCTGCAGGACGCACGGCGTTTTGAGCTCATTAGCACAGGAACATTCTAATGTATCCTGAAATAAACTATTCAATTTCTCTGTCATCCAATAAAGTCTAGAATAACAACTGCACTGTGAAGTCAGAACTTGACCCAACTTCTCATCTTCATGCAAGATGAGAGGAGATGAGAGTAGAGAGAGCAAGAGAGAGAGAGAGAGAGAGAGGAAAGAGGTACAGGATGGGACAGGATGGAGTTGGCAATATGTAGCAACAAGTATATTCTATGATGCCAAATCAAATTTCCTGGGTTCTAGCTCTGCATGCGTCTAGAAAATCTTTCTTGCCCTCAGTTCCCCCATCTCTAAAATGGTCGTAATGGCAGAATCCACCTTAGTTTGATACAATTCATCCCATGAAATAGTGCTCATAAAGTGGTAAGACCAGGGCCTGGCACCAAGAAAGAGCTGTGGTTATTACTGGTCAGCAAATGACATGCAACTGCAGGACCTCAGCCTTGCCTCATTCGATGGAAATTAGCTCCTCGTCCTCTGAGATCGTTAATCTTCCTCCAAGTTCACACCATAAGCCCTCCAACTCTCCCTTGGAGAGAGCCGCAGTGGGCCTCGGCATGGCCTTTCCTTCTCAAGGCCACCTCTCATGGGAAATCCTGTTAGCTTCCTAGCAGCCCTTGTAGCTCTCTCAGTAACTCAAACACACACTTGAAATCATAAATTCCTTAATATCCAGTGTTCTGGAAAGGAGAATCAATAAGCTTTCAAAGGCTACTATAATTTCAACAAATGTTTACATCCTTTGATTCTTTCTCTCAAAAAATGCAAACAGCATAGAAATTGATAAAGTAGAAAATAAACAGGAGGACGAAGTACCAGTAATTGCAGTCATTAAGATGCCCCCTATGCCAAACACAAAGTCAAAGATGCTGCCACTACCTGTCCTACTTCATTTCAATGCACCCTCCCGTCTTGACACTTGGACACTGAAACCCACACAAAGGGTCTGTCCCCAAATCCTCCTTGGCAGATCTGTGGGGGGCCCAACAGTTCCTCAGTCCCACAGTGCTCTCTCTCTGGAAGTCCAGGGCCCCACAGAATGTAGTATTTTCTCCAGGTCTGGTCATCCTGGTTCATGCCCTCACCGAGCAAGACAATTCCTCAGTTCAGCAGTTGTTTGTGTGCATGTTCATTATATACAACTGTAAGGTTCATTTGGGGAGTTCAGTACTGGCGCTCAACATATTCTGACTATTTTAAATTCCATTAACCCCTTATCCCTTTCCTCCTCCATCCATATCCTGAAGTCTGAATTCTAGTTTCCTGGCCTCTCTCTCTTACTTACTGTACATTGTTCATTTTTTTATGTAAGACAAAGTATGTGATGATATTGAACTTTCTCAGTCTGGTATATTTTATGTAGCATGGTAGTCTTAAATTCCATCCATTTTTCTCCAAATGGCATTATTTCATTCTTTTTTGGGCTGACTAATACTCCATTATTTGTACTTATACCCCATTTTCTTTACCCATTCATCTGTTGACAGGCATCTAGGCTATTTCCACAGCTTAGCTATTGTGATTGTACTGCTATAAATACAGGTAACGCAAATATCACACATTATCTTCAGTTCCCGGAGGAATATATCCAGGAGACGGATAGGTATGGCTGAATCAAGTGGACTTTCCATTTTTAGCTTTCTTCACTAAATCTCCACATGATTTCCACAGTGGTTGCATGATTTACATTCCCATGAGCATAGCCTAGGTTTCCTGTTTTTCCTGCATCCTCACCAGCATTTTTTTTTTTTGTATTCTTGATGATAGGCATTCTGAATGGGGGTTAATATGAAATATCAATGTTATTTTGACTTGTATTTTCCTAGTGGCTAAAGATGGCTGCATCAATTCTTTTGCCAATGTCCCTTAGTCTCAGCTCCTCAGCCCTCCCCTGCCTTCCCACGAGAAGCCCCCGTGAACCTGTGTAATCCAGGTGACCACCCTCTGTACTTACATGCACAGATCCTGTCGGTGCACTCACGTGGTACTCGAATTCATGGCCCCCGGATTCAACTCAGCCCCTGACACTAGGCAGGAATAGCTCTATGTGACCACAATCACTTTCTACCACGGGGCTCCATGACAGCTGTTTTCTCCAGACTGCACACCATCCTCTCCTGCCATACTCAGCTATGGCCTTGATTTCTACAGCACAAGCAAATGGAGCCATGACATCGAGACTCACCCATCTCTCCAATCCCTTGCCTGCCACCGTAAGACAAACCAGCCTCCATCATAAGCCTCTTCCCTCCGGGCTCAGTGACTTCAACAACAACTCACATCTCAAGTCCCAAATCGCAGCACTTTCTGCTTCCCAAGTGACCGTGCCGGCCAATTACCTTTCTTCCTCGATTGGATGCTTTCCACACCTATCAGCATACTCCACTCACCTCAGCCCAGCCCCTTACTCCAGCCCACGCCATCATGACTCCCTCTCAGGGCCTTTGAGCTTGCTGGTGCTCTGCTGTGACTCTCGCCCTCACTCCCTAACTTCCTCTGTTCAAATGTCTCATCACAAAAGTCATCTCTGACCATTCCCACAGATCACGGTGCTGTAAATTCTCCTGTTCTCCACTGTCCTCTTGATTTCTCTCCATTGGGTTGGCACCACCTGACATTTTTGTTTATTGACTTTTTGTTTGTTTTTCGGTATCCTCCACTGGAAAGTGGGGTTCACAATGACTGGGATCTCACCCGTTTGTTTACTGCTGGGTTCCTAGCACTGAGTGAACCAGATGCTCCAACAAAATTTTTGGAACAAATAAGTGGATTGTGAAAAGTGGAAAATTCAACAGGTAGCACTGACTTACATTGGTGGTCAAAAGTAAAAATTAATTTAGGTTCCATGACCTTTTCTACTACAACTAAAATTAGCAGATTATAATAAAACAATATTTGTTGGAAGTGAAAAGTATACTACGGCATAGCTGGTGGCATTATAAGTTAAAAACATCCTTTTGAAAAGCAATGAATATCAAGAGCTATCAAATAAAACCATACTGTTTTGCCCAGTAATCTTATTTTGAGGGGGGAAATAATATTAAAGAGGAAAAACCATGATACATAACTATATTACAGCTTTTTGGTAAAATGAAACCCTTTGGAAGCTATTTACTGTCCAGCAATAAGAAAATGGTATGTAGCCAGGTGTGGTGGTGCACGCCTGTAATCCCAGCACTCGGCAGGCTGAGGCAGGAGGATCGCTGTGAGAGCGAGACCAGCCTGGGCTACACAGTGAGTTCCAGGTCAGTCTCAACTACAGAGTGAGATCCTGTCTCAAAAAACCAAGAAAGAAAGAGAGAAAGAGAGAAAGGAAAAGAAAAGAAAGACAGAAAGGAAAATGGTATGTAAAATGGTGACTATAACTGCCATATAACAACATGAAAACTATTTTGTAAAGAAATGTTAACTGGGAGAAAAAACTACTATTCAAAACCTGGGCAGTGTATATGTAATAAGAATCACAACTTTAGGAGGCATAAAATACATAAAAATCGTAACAGTGGAGTTAAAATTGATTAAAATGCTATTTTTTATTTTAACAATATTCTAAAGTTTACTTTAAATTTTTAAAAACTTCATGTTTATAAATCAATAGAGCCATCTGATCGCTGAGACAGGGAGGGGATTTTTAAAATCAGCAGGAAGCACAAGAGGAGATGGCAGGTCTACCTACAGTCAGTGAATCTGGGGGGCAGAAATGGCTGAAACACAGATTAAATTTGTCATATAATAATAATGTAATATAAACTTGTTTCCATATGACAAAGAAAGCCTGCAATTTCCTCCTTGGAGTCATTGCTGCTGAGGCTGATCTACGGCTGGTGTCTGCAGCTCAGATTTCAAGAGGGTTCCACTGCTGCCTACCTGATAAAGGTGCTCTAAGTGCCTCTCCCAAGGAGGTTAATTATCACAGTGATGCATGCATACCAGTGTTTACAGCAGAACGATTCATAAAGCTCAATCCTGGAAGCAGCGAACATACTTATCTACAGGTGAATGGATATAGAAAATATGGTATCTATACAAAATGGAATACTACTAAGCTATAAAGAAGGATACATTCAAGATATGTATAGGAAAATGGATGCATCTGAAAAATACAATGTTGAGTGAAATAAATCAGATACACAAGCTTCAGTATCTTATGGGTCTCTCCCTTGAATATGGCAAAGTACAAACAAAGAGCAAAATTAAGGAGGGACCTAAGGAAACAAAGTGACATATCTCTTACAAGTGGGAAGAGGTCTAGAAACCTAGGGCAAGGGTTGGATGAGGGGGAAGTACGCAGAACTAGTACACCCCATGTACAGGGACCTAACGAACTCAATTAATGTGAGCAGTACATGTTGTAAACATGACCTAAGAATAACAATAACAAGGATGCAAACGGGGAGAGGAGATTTAGAGTTGCAGGGAGGGAGGTCAGTGGGAAGGGGATGAAAATGAAACTGTGTTACATGCGTGTGCCGGCCCCTCAGGATGAACGTGGGGCTGGGGATTTAGCTCGGGGCCACCTCGCCTGCCTGGTAAGAGCAAGGTCCTGAGTTTGATTCTCCAGGACCCTCCCCCCCAAAAAAAGATGAACGTAAACTTCATGCACTGCAAACATGTACTAGCAAAACTAAAACTAAAATTTAAAAAAGGTGCTCGCTGTGTCTAAACCTCCTGTATGGACCCCGTGGCTTACACCGACGCTTGCTCTCCTCTCTACTTCCAGAATTTTTCAAACTGGGAAAAGTGCACCAGTGGGGCTAACCCAATCAAACAATGACAGCACTGAGGACGGGCTGTGCCCGACACGAACTCTGCACGCAGCTTGCAGGTATGTGAGCTCCACAGAAGCCCTCATGAGAGACGGGACTCATAGGACGCTCTGGGGGGAGCCCCGGGCTCCCCGTCTTCCTCTGTCACTGTGTCTCAGTAGTAAGCATGCCTCAACCCTGTGCTCAGCTATTTGCTAGGGACCATGAGGCCTCCCTTTGGGGTGCTCTTGGAGACCCCTGATGCACCACATTAAAATTTAATGGAGGGCCGGGGATTTAGCTCAGTGGTTCCAGCGCCTGCCTTGCAAGTACAAGGACCTGAGTTCGATCCCCGGTACCAAAAAATAAATAAATAAATAAATAAAATTTGATGGAGAACTCAGACCCTTATTTTAATGTTAGGAGGAAGTAGAGGGATTTACACATACTGCCTTGGCCATACACAGTTTGAACTCAGACCCTGCCTTCCCCAAGGCTCCTAGACATGGCTCTAGAGCCCTGTACCAGGAAACCCCAGTTTGGAAACACTGCTCTACACAATTCTAACGAGGAAATCCTAACCAGAAGCTGTTTGAAACAAGTTTTATGAAATTCATCCTGGCTTACTAGAAGCTCTTCTGTAAAGTAGCCTTTATTCTTCATAAAATACAGAAACACTAGAAATGCGTCCCTGCGGTAATTTCCCTCCCACTGATCTGAAAAGCTCAGGTTCGCTCCTCCTCAGTACCTGCTCACATACATTTCTCTTCATTTTCAAATCATTGTCAGAAGCTTCTGCATGCGAATCGCATCTATCAGGGAGCAATCATAAGTAGACGGCAGCAAACCTAATTCATGCTGTGGAAAAGCGCCCTTTACAGAAAAATTAATCATAAAAATTTTTTTTTCAACAAAAAAATATCAATCTTCTAATGACCTTTGTCATTTGGAGAAACTCTTCACAGGCGAGTGGCTCCTCCCTGGGGAGCTGACAGAGGGGAAGGCTGCTCATTTCCTCCAGGACGGCATCGATGCGGAACTCAATCAAATCGCTGACCCGGTGAAGCAGCAGCTCTAGGTCCTCTTTGGAAACACACAAGTGAATAGAAGAGATCGAGTAAAGCATTTCTCACACAGACACACACACACACACACACACACACACACACACGCGCGCGCGCGCAACTAAATGGCAGTAGTAACATCAAAATGGATGTTACTCTCTGTTTACTTATTCTCTCTGTCTCACTGCCTCTCTGTCTCTCTCTCTATCTCTCATTGAGAACTGAGCCCAGGGCTTTGCATGTACTAGATAAAGGCTGCTACCTCCCCAGTCCTTTCTATTTTATTTTCAGACAGGGTCTCCTAAAGCAGCACAGGTTGGACTTGAACTTCTGGTCCTCTTGCTGCAGCCTCCTGCATGGCTGAGATTCCAGGTGTGTGTCACTGCACACATCATACTTTAAATTTTCTAGCTCTCCCCTATCTGGTTCTAACTCATCTTCCCAGGAAGCTTTCTTTGGCTGGGGAAATTCCTTCCTCCCACACTGCTGTTACATATGAGCATCTTTCCATCTCTGCATAGGCCATACAACTATTCTTATGTCTTATTTCCTTTGAGAATTCATTTTCCATCCTTGCTTCTTCATCATTCATCTCAGTGCCTACTGCATGGTGGACTCAAAAATACTGCTGATGGGAAATTGCTCTGATTTTTCTTTTATGTTACTATCGTTGGATACATTTCTTTGCTAAGGTAATATTGAATACTAAGCTCCATGGATGAAGAGATCATTTCTGAAGAAAACTAACAACAATTCTACATCAAAAGTTGGAAGGAGTCAAGGGATATGCACCCAAGAAGTAATACCTTTTCCAGCAAGCACCACACTGTATAATCTCTCTTTTTCTATAGTACTTTCCCCTACAACACAAAGTTGAAACTGAAGAGAGAAAAGTCAGTGTTATATACCCACTATGTATCAGAGATACAAACACTGCCTTACATATCTTTACTTCATATAGAATAGATGCCTAACAGTTTTCAAACATTTCTAAGCTAATCATAAAAGAGGCTACTTAAGACACCAAGCAGCTCTTCCTGGTAAGCTTATTCATTAGTAAAAGAGAGCCAACACTTAAGTATGTGTACTCAATAAAATCCATTGTTATTTGTACCTAATTCCTTAAAGCATCTTTAAGGACATGTGTGGCAAGATTAAAGAATCATCCCTCAAGGATGTCCACATTCTAATCCCCTAAAATGTTACTTTATATGCCACAAAGGATGGGGCAGGTGTATTATGGTTCTTGAGATGTGGAAATTGTTCTGGAAAATCCAAGTGAGCCCAATATAGTCATACGGGTCCACATAAGAGGAATGAAGGAAGGTTCAAAGCAGACAGAGAAGAATATGACCATGGAAGAGAGGGGCAGAGAGAAAGAGGACAGAGGAGGCTATGCTGCCAGAACTGAAGATGGGGGCCCACTCCCCAGTATGTGGAGACAGCTCTGCAAAGAATTCTTCCTTGGGATTCCAGAAGGAACCATCCCTGGAGACACCTTGGTCTTAACCCCAGAAGACTAATTTTTGGTTTCTGAAGTCTATAATTGTCTTTTCACTAAACTCATGAAAATTCATTATAGCAACAATAAAAAAAAACACATACATAGAATATGTAAAACCTGTCTGTGGAAGTTCTGTTTGTTATTTTTGAAGAATTATGAATACTCTGCTAAATGCATGATACAAATAACCAGCTGTAAACAGAAAGGTTGGCTCACTTTGTCCAAAAAGGAATCCAACTGTTCTTGAGACTTAACAGAAATTTATCTTCCAAAGAAACACAATCTTTTTATTCAGCTTTTTATTTAAATTACAGAAAGAAAAATAAGATACAAGAACTAAGTAGAGTTTCTTCAGAAACTATCTCCTTGTCTCCAGCTAACACGCTAATAAAACATCCAAATTGCTAGCATTCTAATCTTAATAACCCTCTGGGGAGAATATTACAAATACCTACTGTGATAGCCTATTTTAATTTGATTGTGACAATCCTCACAATGGAGTTTTTATATATTTTATAAATGCCTCCTCAGAGACTTTTAGCCAATTTCCTCTTGTTTTATTTCCTGGGGAGATGTATTCTGGAAAAATATTGGCTTCAAAGCAAAGAAACTGAGTTCTAAACCTGTCCTTGTTGCTTATATCTATGCAATATTAGCAGTCTTTTTTGTGGGGGGGGTTGGTTTTTTGAGACAGGGTGTCACTACATAGTGGAGACTGACCTGGAACTCACTATGTAGCCCAGGCTGGTCTCCAACTCACAGAGATCCTCCTGCCTCAGCCTCCTGAGTGCTGGGATTACAGGCATGCACCACCACACCCGGCTAACATTGGCAATCTTTTATCATCTCTGGATCATAGCTTCCAACCTTTAAACTGATGGCCTTCTTTAAGACTGTTTCCACAATGTTCTTCACCCCAATAATACTATGATTATCTAATAATGCATTTAAATGATTCTACCTTCAAATTATAATGAGCTTTAAATACACTTCAGTCATATCCAAAGGCCCCTTTATAATTTGTCTTTGAATCCAGACCCCAATCTATCAAGCAGTAGGAAGAGGGTAGTTTTTTATAGTAACTCCTATAGTTCTATTTCCTGTCTTATCAACACATTACTAGAACTTCTGAAATATACTTGATTGTGTAACACCTAAGTTATTCAGAACGTGCAGAGAAATCTATTGCTAAGCCAAGATCTTAACAGATCATGTTATGAATAAACTAGGTTCTACTTCTGTAGCGCCAAGCACCAGATCAGCAGAAAGATCTCAGGAAGACAGAAAAAAATAACAGAGAAAGAGAGAGCAGACATAAAGCATCATGAGAGGTCTGTGGGATGGAAGCTCAGGAAGAAGTGGACCAGAAATGAATTCATAAGATCAGGGGACTAGAATGGAGTGTCCCAGCAATGAGAAAGTGACAAAGAAATTGGCACTGTGGTCACAGTTATTGGTTTGACTTAGACTTGACCACATGGTTCAAAAGAGGGAACTGGTTCACAGGAGGAGTTTAGGAATGGTTTAGGGATGCTGGCTTGAGAAGCCATAGACTGCTATAAGCTTAGTTTCATGGGAGATTCTTGTCAGCAATCAGAAGATCAAAATGAGGCTAGCAATATAGAAAGCAAAGACTAGACTCAGGAGGTTTCAGTTAGGAACAAGGACTCCACTGGCAGTCAGACTGCAGTCCAAATATGTTATCCTCTGGCAGAAAATGTGTCTGTATCATGCCCATGTCCTGAGACTCTGCAAGAGTATGAGATTAAGGACAGCAGCACCCCAGTGTTCAATCTATGGCATGGATACTACTTGCAGCTTTTTTCCAAATTCATAATGAAAACCAAGAACAAATGGCAGAGTTGAATAATTTGAGAAGTTTCCAGTTTCACCAGAAAGGAAGCACCTGCAAAGTTAGGTCAAAGGACTGCATAGTTGCTGGAAAAGTTAGCATTAACAAGAAAACAAATACTTTGTATTAGGACAATAGGAAAAATGGCTTTAGGGCATCTCAGGAATCATGAAGACCCTACCTTTCCCCGGTTCAAGGGTAGAAAATTATAGTTTTCACTTGAGAAGAGAGTCCCTGGGCCTCTTGCTCCAGAAGGACTGACTAAGAAAGTGGTTCCCCAGGATTCATTTCTCAGTGCTCAGCCATCCAGGCTTTCCTGAGTAGGAAAGCCACAGGCAGTAAGTGGAGCCACCACAAGAGAGGCCATGAGAGTTATAACCAGAAATTCTATATGGCAGGACTGCCAAACCATTTAGAGTTCAAATCTCAACCCATCTTGCCCCCAGCGCTGGTAATGGAGCTACTGGAATTAACGTTTGCCCCACTGTTTCAGACTTACTTTGGTCCAATTTCTTTCTATCCCATCTTCCCTTTTAGAATGGGAATATTTACTCTGTGCCTTTTATTTTTTTAACTTGTGCTCATATTAAGAGTTTGCCTTGGGCCAGGGATTTAGCTCAGTGGTTCTGCCACCTGCCTCACAAGTGCAAGGACCAGAGTTTGATCCCCATTAGCAAAGAAAAAAAGGAGTTTGCCTTTAGTCTCAGAGGAGACTTTAGACTTGGACTTTTCAGTAATACTTAAAGTGTTAAAACTTTGGCAATTCTTAGAAACTGATTAAATGCATTTTGGGTAATGAGATGGGCATTATTCAGTTGAGGGCCAGGGGAAGAATGCAATGGTTTAGATTTAGAATGTCCCTAAAAGGTTCATGTGTTCAGAGGTGAGGTTTCAGAAGATGACTGGACGGTACAGGGGCTATACTCATCAATGCATTAATCCACTGAAGAGTTCAGAGTTGAATGTGCGTTAGAAGGGGCGGGTGTGATCAAAAGATGGGATCTGGAAGGCATATCTCCCTCCTATTTCCTTCTTTCTCTCTCTGTTTCCTGGCTTCCGTGACTTGAGAAGCTTTTTATTTGCCACGTCCCTCTGCCATGCTATTTCTGCCTTGGATCCAGCTCACCACAGACTGGAACTGTGAACCAAAATAAACCTCTTCTTTTAAGTTGTGGGTGGTAGATATTGTGTCTCAGCAACAGGAATGTGATTAAGACAACATCCAACTGAGTAGTGCAAAACAACTGAAGAAAAAGCCTAATTTTAAAGCTCTTTGTAGACAATGTGGGGAGAAAATGAAACTGGATAAAACCACTACAAGACAGCCAAAATAAAGAGTCACAGATCCAACTGTCAACACAGCAGACAGAGGTTGTAGGAAGAAGTGGGAATGGGGGAAAGAGAAAAGGACTTCTCCTGATGATTAAAAAATAGGCTAGGGCCGGGATTTAGCTCAGTGGTTCTGCTGCCTGTCTTGCAAGCACAAGGACCCGAATTTGGCCACGAAGAGGAAAAGATTGATGCCACTAGGCAGAACAGGTGAATGGAAATATCTAAGTCTTTCAAGGGGAAAAAAAACTTTCCATTATTGTGTTCCAAACTGCCCACCACAAAGATATATAAGGGGATAATACATTCTCCCAGAAGGGCAGCAAGGAACTCTGGGAGATGCGTCAGGAAGAGGTCCCCTTCAGAGGTCCTATGGACACTGGCTCTAAGCTGAGGTTCTGAAAAGTGCTCCAGAAGCGAAAATGTCCTACTACTTAATGCACATTCCCCACATGGATCTGAGCTCAATCTTCTTCTATGAAGTTACCTTATACACTTTGGGAAATCCTATTTTATGGAATATACTGCCTTACATATCTTTTCAAGAGTTTTATATCCCTCATTTGGGAAAAATAATGTTTTTTTGAAATTTTGCCCAATTACATCTTGTTTCTTTGCACTCTGTACCATCCAAATTTCTGTACCTGAAAAATTAGGGTTTCAAAATACACTTACTGACTAGTATAGGAAGTCGAATGCTTCTAAGGATTCTTTAAATTCTAATGTCTCACAGTAAAAATAAATTAAAATGTGTAGTTAATCTCTGGAGATAAAATTAAACAGTTACTATTTACACATTCCAGGAAACTACTGAATTTGTATACTTTTGGACAATTCTTAATGGAATAGCTTAAGAGTGATATTTATTTAATTACCTATCTCACTGTATCAATAAGAAATTATACAACAAATATTAAAAACTCAGCCTATAAATTTGAGGAATAACCACCATATGAACAGACTTACTGATCTTTGCAAAAGTGTTTTCTAAATACGACTCAATATTCAGCGATGTCCAGGTCAGGGCAGCCAAGCCAGGCTGGAGGGCTTCATCCACTTTAGCCAAATGAGGGACCATCAGTTGCTCAATAGTAGCAGGTATTTTTGACTTCACTCTCTGGTATTCAGCCAGCATCATCTGTAAGGAAATGGGGTTAAATAATCCATTAATACCCCACTTTTAAGATCGAGTCACATCATTGTATGTCAAAGAATTACTTTTATTTAAGGTTAAACTCTAAGGCACTAATAATCTGGCAGGTAGAATGGTAAAAACAAAATAACAGAAAACAAAGGCTGTTTCTGTAATTATGAAATCCTACTCCAATAAGTTGTAACTGTAGATGAAGAAGAAAAAATTAAGAGTCAGAGCTTCTCAGGTCCTTCTTAACCTAAAAGGGGAGAAAAGGTTTAAAATCAAGTCATTTCGGATAAGTTTTCTAAACCATGTGAAGCCATGGTAACAGTGCCTTCCCCTCTGCAGCACAAGGTTCATTCTTCCACTTCTGCACATAGGTACAACACACACTCATCATCAGAAGTGTCTGGGTCCCCACAGCCCACTGCTGGAATTACAGACCAAATCTTGATGCAAGACTCAAAGCACACAGGGAGAGTCCCGGAGCCAGTGTTGATTTTAACAAGTGCTGTAGCTTTAAATATTATCCATATGCCAAAAATAAACACCTTCTGTCTCCAGTGCAAATCTCACTCCAAGGTCTAGATTCACATAGACCAACAGCCGACTTAGTAATAGACATCTCCAGCCTTCACATGTTCACATCTGAAAGTCTGCTCTTCCCTCAAAATTTTCTCTGCCCACAGCAGTCTCCAAGTTGGCTAATGCAACTCCACCCTTCTGGCGCACTAGCCAAAACTCAGAGTCATCTTTGAGTCCATTCTTTCACTTTCGTGTGGAATGCATGGTTCTCTATTGAAAAGAGATCCGGGATCCAATCTGCTTATCATATGCACTGCTACCACCATCTCAGACTTTCACTTGAATTATTGGAATGATCTACCTTGTGTCCCTGCTTTCACTCATGCCCCGTACACTGTAGACTTAACTTAGCTGCAAGAGTGAACCTTGCAAAATGTTAAGTCAGATTATGTTACTCCTCTGCTCACATGGCTGCATGGCCCCATGTGACTCAGAGCTACGAGTCTGTGTTCAGAGACTCTGAGAGGTTGCTGGTCTACCCAACATTATTCCCATTACTCCTCTGCTCTGTCTCCAACCACCTTCCCCCCACTTACCTGCCCTCGTAGCTTCCATGCTGATTCACAGCCTCAGGGCCTTCGGGCCTCCTTCAAATAATTTCTCAAATGGCACCTTCTCAGTAGGCCTAGTTAAGACTAAGTCAGCACCTTATATTCTATGCTCCATTCTATTTTTTTTTCCATAACAGGTATTACTTTATCCCAATACACTATTGAATTTACCTATTTAAAATATTCATTGCTTATTTTCTGTCTTACCCACATAGCATACAGATAGTTCCTGATATAAAATAGTGTCAAAATGAAAGATGATCAGTAGAAATTTAGAGTCATTTGAATTTTTTAGTGTTGATCTTTTCCCAGGCTGACAATATCTGATATGGAACATGCTCAAGGTGCTGAGAGCTGCAATGAGCCAGAGATCCAGGCAGCCACAGAGTCATGAGGTGAACAACCAAAACCCTACAGTCTGTGATGCTTCCAGCATATTTGATACATATATTCAATAAACCACATGAGCTATTCAACACTTTATTATAAAAATAGGCTTCGTGTTAGATGCTTTTGCCCAACTGTAGGCTAATGGAAGTGGTCCAATCACATTTAAAGTAGGTAAAGCGAGGCTATGATGCTCAGTAAATTAGATGTGCTAAATGCATTTTTGACTTCAGATATTTTTAATTTAATAATGTAGCCACCGATACACAACCCTGTACTAAGAACGGCCCTTATCTGCTTTGTTCTAGTGCCTAACGCTGTAGCTGGAACACAGGAGTTGACTGATCAATGTTTCTCTTATTAATTAGCTGCTATCAGAGGGAGTATTTATGATCCAAAATTATATATTTTGGTTCCCCACTAAGATTTAGTTATTGTGAAGAGTTTGCCTCTATGTTAGTATTTTTAAATAGTTTGACAGTACTTCTACCTTTAAGGGTAACTCGCTGATAATAATCTTTAACTATAAGAAAGTAACTTTAACGTGTTTTAAATACAATTGTTTTAAGCCTGTAATTGCCATGCAAATAATAGCATTGCTTTGATATTAGATCAATAATTCCTAAAATGTCTCTTTGGAATACTAAGTCCAAGAGGGCTCATAATAAAAATGATCATTGCATGGATACATTTGAAAAAAACCTATCTACTTTTGGACAGCTACAATTAATGTTAATAATTCTGACAAAACTGCCCTAAGGGTATAAGAAGTCCTAAAGAGCTTTGAGAATTTTTTTAAATACAACATTCCTCAAATGGTCTTTATAATCCTTTCTTCATATAGTATTTTTCCTCAATTTTTATTATGCCTTTTCAATTTCCGGGAAAGCTACTAGAAGAAAACCTAAATTTGATAGTTCCATTAGCAGCTAGTTACACGATTCCTAAAACTTTTATCCTCATTACCTATTTTTCAATGTCTATCACTTATTGTACCTGAAAAACGGGTCTCAGAATTCTCCCCTACAGGCTTTCTACTTCTCGCCTTTAATCCTTTAACCCCAAGAGGTATATTCATTCATTTTACAAATGAGAAATCAAGGCTTAGAAGGTAAAGTAATTTACTCAAAGATAATTGTTTGAATCTGAATCAAATAGGTTTCAGAATCTCTACTCTTCACTCTTACCCTGTGCTGGCTCATCCCTTCTGGTTTCAACTCTCTTCCGAGCTCTCAGCTCCCCTGTGGAAAGGTCAAAAGCCCGGAAACTGTTAAATATCCAGCACTCTGCCTCTCTGGGGGGACTTCAGGTCATCCCCCAAAGACGCAAAGATCTGCTCTTACCAGTCATTGATGTCGAGGAGGAGCATTTAATTCCCTAAATCCCCGAGAAACAATAAATATTGATGAGATGATAATTTACATGTTCAAATTGGCACTACAACTGTGGTGGCTTTAAAATACTTTTGCCCTTCCTCTCTCCCCATAGGTCTGGGTCTCTGTGCCCTCCCTAAAATGGAAGTGATCAGGAGGGAACAGCAGAAGAGATGCTACAAGACGCTCCAGGCTGTCGTAACGGTCATGTGGCCCCCTCCTTGTTCACTGTCTCACTTGCTCCTGAAATTTTACGAGCCTGAGGCCCCCTCGGTGAGCTTCACATATGGATGCTCCAGTCCACAGTCCAATGGAATGCACCGTTCACGTCTCACTCATATTCTTTAACCACAGAACCATGAGATATCATGCAATGTTACATCTGGGAGTGTGTGCTGTCTGCAGCGGATAACTGAAATGACAACTCTGTGCATAAAATGGCCATTAGCAATTTTATAGTCATGTGAATCTGATTTATTAGTAATAATGTTTTCTTTGCAAATATGTAGCTTGATTAATTAATTTTGCTGAAAAGCAAGAATATAAAAGAAAATTCCAACATGCTAACTAGGACTCTTTGAGTCCACATTTGTAGAATGTCTGTCCATTGCCAAGGTTAACTTATTATTATAGTATGAAATAGGGGAAAGACAAGTCTAGCTTCTGGTCCTAATTTAGCCATTTAGCGACAAGATCTTGGATAAGTCATTTAACCTCTCTGAGCCTCAATTTTTGTGATCTATAAAAAAGATTCTGTCCCACTTACCTAACACAGTGGTGAAAAAGACAAAATTAAATAATGAGCATGAAAATGGCTTATAATGTAAAGCTTTATGCAAGTGCATGGCCTCAGTGTTAATATATGATGTTAACCACTACGGTATTTTAATAATGGTGTCCATGTTGTCAGATACCATGGCTGTGGTTCTCATCCTCTGGGAAGCAACAACTATCTCGAGTGACCATCACCACCTCTATGAGGTTTTCCTTACCCTCAGCTTCCTTGACATTTGGATTCATCCCACCCTAAAAGCCAGTTCTTCTTTTTATTTGCATATTTTCCTCTTCCATCAGACCAGACAATACTGGAGCTCACTCCACGTTTGGTCCAGTGGCCCTCTACTCTCCTCTGTCTATATTCTCTCCATAAGAATTCTCATCCAGATCAACAACATTAAGTAGAAACTATATTCTGCTGTCAAAAGTTTGCCTCCAACTTTTCCTGCTCCATGAACTCCAGACTTACATATGAAGCAGCATGGATAGCATCTCCACTTAGACATCAGCGGATGATCTTGTACTTAGAAAGAAACTACTGATTTCCACCAAAATAAACTAGCTGACCACTGCCATCTTCAGAAATGAGACTTACCATCAGGGCCACTGCACATGATTATGCAACCCACACAGAAAGGCATAGCAGCCCCTTCAGTTAGCCATAATCTCCCTTTTAACCTGCTGGTTGACATCACTCTCAATTTCTCTGATCACCTCTGCCATTTTAGCTCCAGCTTCCACCATCTCCAAGGTAGACCAACACAACAGCCCACAAACTGGCTTCCCATTGACACTCTGCCTTCATTTTCCACACAGCAACAAGGACGATTTTAATTATAAATGGTACCATGGCTTTTTCTCCAATTCAAAATCCTCCCTTGGTACACTGAAAATCAGACCCCAACTTCCACTGTTGGAAAGTCATAAAGTCAGAAGGGCTGGGTGCCGTCGACACTGCAGCCTCGTGGCAGGGCCCCTGTCCTTCACTCCTCCCCTGCAGGAGTCCTGGCCACTTTCTGTCATTCCGTATAACACATCCCAGGTTCTTTACACGCACTATCCAGGAAGAGGAAAAATAAAATCACTGTACCTTCATGTTGCTGAAGTTCTTTTTGTATATATGCCGTTTCTGGAAGAGGGCAGCTGCAAATGGTGAGACTTCCAGTCCCATTTGTGACATGCACTCTGTTTCTCTAAATAAGATGAATATCTGAGGATCAAAGTTCACAAACAATTCCCCTGTGTCTGGAGCCTTCACCAATAAAGAAGCCTCAAGACCCACGTGAATGCCTTCGATCTGTAGGAAGAAGTCAGTATCTTTACTATCAGAAAGCTCAATGCGTACACAGAGTATCTCACTCAACCATTTCTGGTAATCAGGATCATTAACTGCCCTTGCAGGGATTTGAGCTTCATAAGTTACAGACACTGGGATCACTCGCTTTCCTAAGTTCACATGCAGGAAATGGACTGCGGTTAACGATGATGATACTGCACAGTAAGTCAATAAAATGTTTTATTCATGACCCTCGCCCTTGATAGACAAGTGGACACTGCAGAAGTCGAGACTACTCAAAGGCCTTAGCTCCCTGATAACTTTAGTTACATTCCCAATACAAGTTTCACAGAGCCTACCAACCTCAGTTTTCAACGAATACAGCTATGGAGCTGTGCCTTCCTGACCATCTAGAAGAACATACAAGCATTGGTAGGGTCCGATTAGACAGAGACAGAGATACTGGTGTTTACTGACACATTCCAGATCCCACTGAATTTTAGAAAGGAAGAAGCTTAACCAATAGGAGGGAAACCAATAAACAGGATTTCCTCATTGAGGAATTTTTAAATTAAATAAAAATAATTTTCTGTTACCTCGCTTAAGACTTTTGTCATAATTAATGATTTAAAATTAATAATTATTTCCCTCGGTGAGCAGATTTTAACACGGCTCAACATTAAAATTAGCTAGATTGAACTGAATGAGTTACCAAGTACCTGTAAATGCAACGTCCTACAGGCAAGTCCCTGACTAATGTTAGAGAGGGAACCCCACTGGGTGGATAATGGGGACCTCTTGCAGAGCATCCTTAGGAACTCACCTGTTGAAGCCATGCCCTGTGGTAAAGAACCTCGAACTCCAGGAGGACCCTGGCCACCCTGTTGTAACTGCGAATTATGGGCTTCGCCTCGGGCATCCTCAGCACCATCGGGTGCTGCTGGAATTGCTGCATGGGTTGCTGGATCCTGTGGAAGAGCTGGCGAGCCCACAAGATCTTCCCAGCGATGGGAGGCTGATCTCGAGCCAGAGGAGGGTCATATTTCTGCTTCATGTACAGCTTTGAAATCATATCAATGTCGGCCCCATAGTTCTCAAGGACCAGCCAGTATCTCTCATCAATATCCAGATTAGGTATACTCAATCTGATTAAAATGCAAAGTAGCAAAAGGTCTGGGTTAATGGAAAGTTATTAACTAACCTTATTTATGAGCACTGATTTTAAGACACGCTAATGGAAGAGAATGAGAGTGCAGCATATGAAAAGAATCAAAATGGTACCAACTGTACTGCGTACTTAAAAGTACCAATAAACTCAATAAGATTTAAAAAAAAGAATCAAAATGCTATCAATTCTTATGGTGTTGGCAAAACTAGGGGAAAAATTGTTTTAATTACTGAAATATTAGACAGTATTGCTGCGGCAGTCACAAGAAACTTCAAAGCTGAGACCATGCTCTATTTGTAGAAATAAAGCAAATCCTTGATCTTTCAAAGAGGTAATCCTCCTAAACCTCTGAAAAAAACTACAACTTTGTGACTCAGGCTGTCAAGAGGCTTTTCTTTGATTAGACTATGAAACAACAATAATAATAATAAACTATGTTCATATTATCCCAATTTAGAAAACGGAACTTAGAAACTTATTTTTACCTTTCAAATTTTTTTAACAGACTTAGAGCTTGATTTGTGTCTTGAATCTTTTCAAATGTAACATCCATGAACTTCTGTAAGTCATTCTATAATGGAATAAAACTTGATCATGAACAATAAAGTAACACTGAGAATTCTTTATTCAGCAATAAGAGAAAATAGCTCCCCATGTTCTGCAAATATCTAATATAGAAAAGAGAATATAATAGAAAAATTACTGAGCTTAAAAGAAAAATAAATGCTCAGAAGGAAAAATAAAGAGAGAACGGAAAACCAGAGGATTGCCGAGTTACGCCACACTGGTCATGCATCCTAGCCAGTCAAAGGGCCCTGGTAGAGTCTGGGGTTGGGTCAGAGTTGGGACCACAGCTGTGCAGTCCTCACACTCTTGACAACCCACAGACATCCAGGAGCCACAAAGTGCTGCCCAGTGCTTGCAAAGGAAATGAAGCAAGTCTGGAGACCTGCAGTGAGGCTTGCCACCTTCCCAGAGCTGTGAATAGGGAGAAAAAACCATCCTAGGACAAGGTTCGCATCCTTTCTGTCAAGGACCACAGTAAATATCTTCAGCTTGGTGAGACACAGGTCTCCTTCCCAACTGCTCTCCTCTGTCACTATAGTACAAGGCAGCTACAGACAATGTCCAAACCGGCAGGGCAGGACTTGCACTTTGGTATGGTTTGCCGACCCCTGCCCTAGAGCAACTAAGGCCCTACATGTACCACATGGAGATGAGGGGTACAAGTGAATATTGCACACTACAGGCAAAGGATCACCCAGGAAACCATAAATAAATGTTAGTCTGAAAATGTAAAACCATTAGGCCTGCAATAGAAGCAATGCAAAGCCACCATACAGAAATGCTTCCAAAGCCACAAGATTCCCCAGGGACTACACAAATGACTCCAAATGATAATAAGCCCAAATGCGACTCAGAACCACAAGAGCAAGTGATCTTTGACAATGAAGCAGTAGGATGGACAAATGGAATCATGATCCGAGTCCTAGCAACGATGGAACAGTCTGAAAGAGACTATAAAGCAAGCAGATTTAAAATTGCTAAACGGCCAGGGATTTAGCTCAGTGGTGCTGCCACCTGCCTTGCAAGCACAAGGATCCAAGTTCAATCCCTGGTACCAAAAATTAATTAATTAATTAATTTAATTAAATTGCTAAACAGCACAAAAGAAACAAACAGGATAATATGAAACATAAAGAATTCACTTTTAAAAGCAAAACTTACACATAGAAAGGAGAAAGTTATTGCAATTAATAGACAAAGGAAACAAAACACATACACCTTAAGATAAAATTAGGAAATTGTAGGAGAGTGCTAAAAGAAATCACTCAAAATGTGTTGAAGGAATAAAGAAAGGGAAAATGCAGTATAAAAGTATAACCAAAACAGAAGTGAGAAAAAGGAGGGCTAATGTATGTCTACCAGAAGTCCTGGGAAAAGGGACTAAATACAAAGTCATGGTGAGTGCTGCTGCCGAGGACCAGGTAATGGGGAGGTGGGGAGGCTTCAGTCAAAAAAGTGGGACACGGAACGCTAGCAGGAAGTGTGACAAAGTCCAACCTGTGCAGTGCAGTCGTTTGTGAGATGAGTGAAAATTGATTTATGAGAGATGAAATTTGGGCCCATGTTTATGAACCTGACACCAAAATTTAGGGTTCTCCATGGAAATCACCCAGTTCTTGTGCAAATAAAAGTATGTCAGTCAAGATCCAGTACCAAGGTGATGTTGACTTTGATTCTGACCTTGATGGAATTGTGTCAGCTGAATTTGAACACAGGACCACTACAGTGAATTCTGAATAATATAAGGACTTATTAGAGCATTTAAGAAATGATTTGCATGGAAAACAACTTGAAACATGGGCAAATGGTTTCACTCACCTTCATGACAATGTTTCCTGTCACACATAACTCTAATAGGGGGCAATTTCTGTCAAATAAAAACATATGGTACAGCGTTGTCCATCTTATTTGTTGGATCTGAGCCCATGTGAATTCTGGCTCTCCCGCCAAATCAAAATGTTTTGAATCAATTCAGGACACCAAGGCAGCCATGATATATATGCTCACCCATGTTTATAGCAGCACAGTTTGTAATGGCTAAAATTTGGAAACAGCCCAATTGCCCATCAACTGGAGATGGGATAAAGAAGATGTGGTGTTTTTATTAAAATGGAGTACTACTCAGCCATAAAGAATGAGAAACTAGAGAGATTTATAGCTAAGTGGATGAACACTGGAGCCATACTCTTAACTGAAATTAATAAGACACACATACATGTAAATACCAAATAGTTTTTCTGGTATGAAAAACTAAAAGTGCAAATAAGGATCAAAATGTATAATTGTTATTGTGTAATAGGAAGAAAAGGTCTAAAAGAGTAGAGGAAGTGGGAGGGGCAGGGGAAAGGGAAAAAATATGTGAAAAGGAAAAACATGGAAACAAAGTCTTTGAAAATAGGGAAGGGTTGAGGGGATGAAAGGAGGACAGGGGAATGGGGAAAAAAATAAGAACCAAGACCTGTCATGTAAAGATACAAGATCCCAATGATAATGTAACTGTGCTGTACACTTAACATGTACCAATACACTTAATAAGGATTTTTTAAAAAGATGTTCACAAATGAGGACTTCCAGAACTGCTTCAGAAAAGGGCAAAAATGAAGGCTAAGTGTGTTCAAAGGGAGGGGGGGTCTTTGAGGGGCATCAATGGCAATGTACCTTTCAGTGTAATACTGCTTGTTATTTACACATTCACCATATTTGTTGGTCACACAAGTATTTCAAATAGCAACTGAAAATTTCCCACAATTAAAAAAAGAAAAAATTTAAATCATCAAATGAATGAAGCATAACAAATTATTTTGTTTGTTTGTTTGTTTGTTTTTTGGTACCAGGATTGAACTCGGGTCTTTGCGCTTGCAAGGCAGGCCACCCAACCACTGAGCTAAATCCCCAGCCAAAGCATAACAAATTCTAAGCAAGCAAATTTTTTAAATCACCCCTGAAACCCACACTGAGATGTTGAAGAGGAATAGAATAGTGATATTAAAAGCAATGAGGAAAGCTGGGCATAGGAGCACACTCCTGTAATCCCAGCACTCAGGAGGCTGAGGCAGGAGGATCACTATGAGTTCAAGGCCAGCCTGGGCTACAGACTGACTTCCAGGTCAGTCTCAACTACATAGTGAGACCCTGTCTCAAAAAACCAAAATAAGTAAATAAATAAATAAAGCAATGAGAGAGAGAGGCTAAATTAAAATATCCATTAGGAAATAGATGACAAATATCTAGTGGGGGCAATAGATGTCAAAAGTCAATTTAAAAAGAAAAAAGATTTTCTAAGAGTTAACAGAAAGAAACTTGAAACTAAAATTACATATGAAACCAAACCAGTGCTGGGCGTGGTGGCTCACACCTGTAATCCCAGCACTTGGGAGGCTGAGGCAGGAGGATCACTATGAATTCGAGATGAGCCTGGGCTACATAGTAAATTCCAGGTCAGTCTCAACTACGCAGTGAGACCCTGTCTCAAAAAACCAAACAAACAAAAACAGACCAGTGTTAAAGTTCAAAGCAACTTTGTAGGTATTTTGGGGCTAAGGCAGAAAGCACTGACCAGTAAAAGACCCTTGATATAATAACCACTGGAGGATATATCTAAGGAAGGTTGGGGGGAGGGCAAGAGGCGGCAGGGAGCCAGGAAATCTGTTACCACGTTGTTAATTCTAAATAACTACTAATAACAACAACAGCAAGAGGCTTGGAAAATTTAAAAGCAACGTGAAATTAAAATGTAAGATAGCAATAGTGTGGGAACCGGAGGTAGATAGAAATATCAATTAATTTTAAACTTTCTTAAGCCACGTATGTGTTAAACCCACTAAAAATATGCATAGATACTACTGCTTCCAAACTAATGGAAAAGAAATAAAAGGGATAATAAAAAATAACAAAACATAAAAAGGAAGCTATTTTAAGAAAACATACTTAAAACATAGTTACAAAAGAGTAGAAAGTAAAAGAAGGAGATAATGTTGTAGGCGATACTAAAAGAAAGTTGAAGCCGCAATACAAATAACACACAAAATTGGTGACAGGGCAGAGAGAGTCCCTGGAGATGGAAATGCTCGGTTTATTGCTAATGAGAATAGCTCTCCTGGAAGATGCAGCAGCTTTGAGCCTACAAGCGTTCCACCAATTGAATCCATGCATATATTTATACTATAAAACACACCTGACTTGGTCACGGGTCCTCAGAGCCAATACATCAAAGCAATCAAACAAATGGTCAGTATACCGGTGCACCTATTAGAATGGCCAAAATCCAGAAAACTACAAACATCACATGCTGACAAAGATGTGTAGCAACAAGAACTCTGTTCTTCTTCACTGCTGGTGAGGATGTGAAATGATACAGCCTCACTGAAGGAAAGCGTGGTGGGTTCTTAGGAAACAAAATATTTATCCTGCATGATCCAGAGATCATGTTCCTTGGTATTTACCCAAAAGAGGAAAAAAAGCTTACATCCACAGGAAAACATGCATAATAAATTTATAGTTGCCAAAACTTGAAGGCAACCGTGCCAACTTTGAGTAAGTGAGCGGACAAAGCTGAGGAACTTCACAACTAAATAACAGAATACTTGGTTGTGCTAAAAAAAGATGCACGCGATAAGCCAGAAACATAGAAGAAATGTAAATGCACATTACTAAGTGCACGAGGTCGATCTGAAGAGGCCACCCGGGCATGCTTCCAACTGTGTGACGTCCTAGAAATGACAAGTAGGGGACTGTGAAAAGACTGGTGGTTGTCGGGAGTCAGGGGTATCACAAACATAACGGTAGCCAGAGGAGGGGGGCACAAATGGGTACAGAACAGAGAAGTGGGGGACGGTGAAAATAGTTGGCATGATGCCAGAAGAGTGGATGTATATCACTGAGCATCCACCCAAAGCAACGGAAGGGACAACACTAACAGTGACCCTTACTGCGCATAAGGGACTTCAGATGACAACAGTGGGTCCCTGAGGTGTCATCAGCTATACGACATGTACGCTCTGAGATGGAATGTTGGTAATGAAGGAGCTAATGCATATGAGGAACTGCTAGAGTCAGAGATCTCCGGTAAATCTCCGTACCTTCCCCTCAACTTTTCTGACAGCCTAACCCTGCTCTGGAAAGCACCTTGATTCTTAAATGATTTTAAAAAGATATAAAATACTTCATCACCCCCTGGAAGCCTGATGTGATAACACAGAAAGAGCCCAAGTCCTAACTGGAAACATAGAACTGTTTTCAAGCACACATAGAACATTTTGTGCTGGGTGTGGTGGCACACTCCTGTAATCCCAGCACTCAGGAGGCTGAGGCAGGAGGATCACTGTGAGTTCAAGACCAGCCTGGGCTACATAGTGAGTTCCAGGTCAGTCTCAACTACATAGTGAGACCCTGCCTCAAAAAAAACCAAAAAAAAAAGAACATTTGCAAAATTTAACTCTGAACTATACCACAGAGGACACCTCAGGAACATCAAAACATGAATATAATGTGCTCCACATACCCACATCCAAATATAATAAAAATTTAAATCAACAGTAAAAGAAGAGGCCAGCTGGGTTCAAGGGTTGTCAGACATCTGGGAGACCCCAGAAACGTCCCTGGCACCATAAGGAATTCTTTAACAAGAGACAATAAACTATAATAGACAAGCAAGAATTTAATGCTTTTAAATGATACATGAGTAAAACAACAAAGCATAATGCAAATATGTAGTATTATAAACTGAATGACAGCATACGCCCTGCACATTAAAAGTTGGGAGAATGGCAATATCAGCAATCATGATCCTTAGTATAAACGACATGGGGTTTCATGCATCTATTAGAAAATAAAAGAAAGGGCTAGGATTTAGCTCAGTGGTTCCACTGCGTGCTTTGCAAGTGCAAGGTCCCAAGTTCAATCCCCAGTAGCAAGAAAAAAAAAAGGAAGAAAGAATAAAAGAAAAATTGACATAAAATAAAAGAAAAATTAACTCTAAAGAGTTGAGTAAAGGTGAAAATAACAACAATCTAAATCCAACAGGGGAAATTTTTTAAAGGAAAATGTAATAAAATTAAAAACAAAGAAATCAGGGAAAAACACTTAAAGGTGCTTTTTTGAAAGAAGAGATAATAATAAACTTTGGTAAGACTGACCAAGGGAAAGGAGAGGCAAATTTACACTCAAAATACCTAGAAAATGAAAGTCTAGTAAAGTGACATTAATCGAACATTAGATTTGTTTTAAAAGCAATAAAGACAAAATGCACTACAAAAGTTAGGGCTTATAGATCAAAGTTTAAAGAAATACTTCCTTCAGAGAGCATATAAATGTTAATAATGCCACGTGGATGGCCAAGTGACATTTATACCACATTAACTATGGGCACTGCCACCCCAATGCAACAGAAACATGATTAGCCTCAGCATTTTCATTGAAAAAAATATACATCCCTAGCGATATCACTGTCTATTCAAATGTCATCCTCTGTATGCAACACTTAAAAGGTGAAATGATAAAAAAAATTTAAAAATCTCCTGCCTTCAGGAAACTTCCACTGGGTGTGGGACGGGGTCAGGAAGGAGATGCGGTGAAGGGCAGTGCTATCTGTCAATGGTGAGAGGACACCTCTTTCCTGAAGCCTGTTTTCCAGTGTTCTTTATGCCTTCTCCTAGGAGACTCACACATCTTAAACTATCATAAAATTTTGCCCATCCTTCCTAAAACAAACAAACAAAAAAAAACTGCACCAAAAATACTAAGCATGATTAACTGTTTGCTTCAAGATTCAGTGTGTTTACCATTAAAATCTGAATTGGGTTAAACAAAAGTTTTTCAAATGTGCTTTATTATTTTCTATTTCTTGCTCCAAGGTGAAGACCCACACAATTCCTCTTGTCCCTGCCAGACAGAAGTTTGGAGGCTATACAAATTTAAAGAGACCACTAATTGATGCAGCATGAAAATGTGAAAACCAGTTGATGTGCAGTAAGAATTAGTACCAAGATAGAGCCAGTTGCAGACAATGTTCAATCGGAAGCCATCTGGCAAAACAAGCAGGGAGCAGAATTCAGGGTCTCCTGGAAACACCAGCGTGCAAGAAGACAGATCTGGCCCAGGGGAAGCTCAATGCTTCCTGCCTCCACAAACCCTATGACAATATGTCACGGCCTTAAGTCCTTCCTGGTACTTGTACTGAAAGTATACTTTACTCATTCAGATTTTTACTTTTATCAACACCTATTCGCAACACATAATGACTGCACCCATCATGGGGAGTAGGGACATGTACATAAGACATCTTAATTCTTTTCACTTCCCCTTTCCTGTCCCTCTCTGCCCCTTCCCTCCATCTCTTAGTCCCTTTCCCATTTGCAAAAGAGCTATCTCCCTGTTCCTTGTTATGTATCTTTATTTTTCCTCCTTGACTTACTTAAGTTATTTAAAATGATGGTATATCTCTTGCAAAGGTAATATCTGAGGAATCAGAAAATTTCCCTGAAATGGAAAACTGTTTAGTTAGCATACCTAAATAAACATCTAAGTGTTTCCCTACACCAGGAATCTCTATGCACAAACTGCAGAATGAGAGTAGCTGGAACCCTTCCTCCTCTGCCCCACAGACGTTAGCAAATCTTTACTGCACCCACACACAAGGGTCTGCTCTTCCTTTCTCTCCCACTACACAACTTCACAACAGCCTAGGCTAAGCTCTCTGGGAACTTAAAAGACCCGGAGTTAGTTTTCTTTTCTCTCAGAGCCTGAGATCCAGGCTAAGACCTGTAAGAAGCGTACCTAACTTGTAGGGAATGGGCAATGGAACCATCACACCAGGGTTCCTAGAGTTCTAAGGTCTCAGCTCCTGCTTCATCTTCCTTTTGTCCAGTCTGGTGCCCCCCGCCAGAGTCCCTCCCTTCACTGAGCAGTTTGTTCTTTCACCTGCTGGAGTCTGAGCTACTAAGCTTTAAAAGCCCACTTGTGTGCCGTGGGCGCCAGCACGATCCCAAGTTGGATAGGAGTGTGGCTTCTGGTCCACTCCAGAGTAAAGCTCTGGTCACAGTCCTGACTCAAACCCCTCCGAGACCTCCGACCCCCAAATCTCACTTGAGACGCCACAGCTGTGGAATCTCCACACAGCTTCTCCCCAAATCTCATTGCATCCACCCACTCCATCCAGAATCCTGGGAAGGTGAGTAACCTGCCCCAGCTTTATAGAGAGGAAGGCTGAATCCACAAAAGTGGGAATTTAAAGGAGAGGCCATGGAATGATCAGTTAAAGAAAACAGAATCGAGAAATGGATAAAGAAGTCAAAGGAACACTAGTTGGCAAATCCAATTCAGAAGTGGACCATTTGGGGGGCAGAGGACAAAATCAATAAGTGCTAACCTTAGTAAAGGAAAAGGAAAGGCAAAGGGAAACTTGCTTAAAAGCCAAGCTATAGAACATGATGAAATAATAATTTTAGTAGTACAAGAAGTAAGCACAGGTGTAGAAGGGTCTCACTAAGGTGCTAAATTACCCAGGTTGAGCTCAAATTTACAATCCCGCCTCAGCCTCCCAGATTGTGGGGACCATAGGGATGACAGGTATGCATTATCACACCCAACCAACACAGGCATCTTCCTGGCAGGGAGCACAGCCTTTTCTGGGAAGCCCTTCCTGATGCCAGTCAAGCAGAAATATGGATTATTTTGTCCTCTGTTCACTTCCTATCGTGAGGGCTGGGGTAGCAATGATCAGATCCCAGGCATGTTTTGCAGATCTGTCCTCCCTGCGAGTTTCTGTAGGACTTGTACTATGTCCTCTTATCTTTGAATCTTCCTCCTGACATACTGGCAGAATTCTATTTTTATAACTAGTCATTTGAGCCCCTATTCGCCCTTTTAGATGCTGTATTCATTCCTCTGCTCTAACTTATTCACATTTCAAACCCCTCACTGCTTTCTGTCTGATTGAGAGCTTTGAGGGCAAATCTCCTTGATTTATTTCTGCGTACATAACCCACAGCATAGAAGCCTGAGACGCCTCTGCTGAACAGTACATGCTCCATTGCAGTGAAGACCGGGGAGTGGAGGGCGGGGCTTCAAAACCAAAGGCTTCTGTGGCCAGCTAGAGACCTGCCTTTGAGATCTCCCACACATCACTGATCGGCTTAGACTAGCACCGATTCCTATAAAGTAACAGAGATATGGAGACAAGGGTCTCCGTGCTAATGAAGCTGCAGTGTTTCAGCAGAAGATGAAAGTTAACTTTCTAAGAACTAAAGACAAGCAGAAGCCTGTGATTACAGATCATTATCCAAAGCTGTATTTATGACCCTTTAATCCATGGAAAGAAGCCTTTAATTATTCATCTGAAATCACAAAATGCAGCTGAGGTTGCGATCGGTCACCTCTATGATGAAAACGCCTCTCGCTTATGAATGGGTAATGATTAGCAGCACTACACGGAAAGGAAAAAACAAACATGAAATCACCCAGAGGAATTTTACTACACAACCTACATGAAGGTCATTAGTCTGCTTGCAAAATTCTTCATAATCCTGGTCAAAATCCATTTTCCTTTGGTCTAAGAAATCATATTCCTTTTTCTTTATGGTTGTAATGATGTTCTGAAATATTATGAAACAAATAAGATAATATTTCAATATTCTTGCTTTGCTTAACTAAATCTGATGCTTAAATTCAGAACTCATGCAATGATTCTTAAAATATCTGTTTGAAAGGATGCTTGTTTCTTTATTCACATTGCTTCATGCTTATTATTTTAAAGTCAGCATAATGTTACCATGCTGCATTCAAAATAAAAGACATTTTCATGATTTTTTAATAGTTTAGGAGAATATACAGAGTGAGGATCACATCTGAAAGTTAGGAGATATTTTCCCCAAAAGTTTCTTGTTAATCACATCTGAAAATGTATTTTTTTAAAGCTCAGAGAAGATTCGACTAATTTTTTTTTCCTTCTGGTGTTTAAATCATCTCAGAAAATAAATAACAAAACACAAACAACATAGGAAGAAAATGATTTTGTTATAATAGCCACAGATGTGTTATGACCTTCCAAGCCTCAAATGTCATAAACAAAATGTCAAACCACAATCTACCACTTAAAACTCTCTAGAATTAATTGCTTCCTTAGTCCCTGAAAGCCACAGACTGTGAGCATGAAAGTACAAATTAGGCAATCATCTCTTTGAAAATACTATTATCCGAAGTTTTGTTTGTTTTGAACAATGAGCTATAACGCTCTGTGATCATTCTTAACCAGGAACTAAGCCAATTTCAAACTCAGGTGCCCATACTATTGACACAGGCATATAATTTGTATTAAGGATACTGGGCCTCCTTCTGCATTCTCCTCTTCAAAGTCACTTCTGTTTAAATATCTACTCAAGTCTCTCAATAGACACAAGTGTGTGAACTGCATAACTTCTTGAATCAAGTTTGTGGGATAAAGTAGCCTGCTCTTTCAGGTTATATAATTTAAAAATTAGTTACATGGATTATACATGCATATATTATATTAAAATGTCTGACAGAAGTGTGGCAAAACTACATTTCAATGTAGTAATTAAAAGATTTAGGGACCAGAGGAAATACTGCTCTATGATTGGCTCTAGTGGTCACTAAGTATTAAGTTAGATACATAAAATTATTAATTGTGGCCTTTAAAAAAAACTGGTCACACTCAATATACTCAATCACTTACTACACAGTAATGTATTGCACACATCTACTATGTGTCAGCAAACTTGGAAGATACAGGAATGAGCAGGACAGACACACATTCCCGACACTGGGTAGTTACAACCGGAGATGGTTTCAGGATATATGTCAATCAGGGATGAATGAAGGTGATCATCTCTGGCCACGAAAGATGGGTAATGTGACTTAAAGTAATCGAAGTAAACCGAGGTTGAGGAAATCTTACTGGAAAGGCTTTCGCCATCAAGATCTGGAGGCCAAAGAGGAATCCACTGAGCGATGACCCAGAGGTAACGCTTACAGGTGAAAGGGGTGCTCTGGGAACCCTCGGGTGACTGAACTTGCCTTTCCTGAATCTGAGGACTAACAGAGAGGAGGGGAGCAGGGACAAGGGTGGAAAGACCGCCAAGCAAAGAGCAGGAACTTTCTTCGACGCCCTTTTGGCAGTTTCTCAGTATTTTTAGTCAGGTTAGATAAGACTTCTATCTACCTTTAGTTGTATAGTTCTTCTTATTGAAAAATAACCTTTGAAATATGTCTCAACATCAATTTTTCATTAAAAATGAAAAATAATTCATAAGTTCCAATCTAAAAAAAAAATGATTGCATTCTCTGCCTTGAAAAACTGTCAATTTCACAGCTCCTGTCCACATTGCAGATGACACACAGAACATTTATTGTTTCTTGGTATATAAAATTGTAACTTTTGCTCTGATGTATTCAGGATATAAAAGAAAGATTCCATATATTGGCCTAAACTGTTAGAGTATAAAAATTAACATGTGGCAATAAATTATACGACCATTTTCAAATTCAAGTAGAAAAAATAATTCAAATTCTAGTATCACTGTTCCCAAAAAAGAAAAAAAAAGAATTTATCCACATTAAGCATATTGTTTGTACATTCTTTTTTTAAAATCTTCAAAATATTATTAGATCACTATGCCCACTTTCAAACTAACACTCACTCATCACATAGTTTATCAATGGATAAGGCCAAGAACAGTTAAGATAATTAGGAATATTAGGGCTACAGGAGAATTTGGTTCTTTATTTGTTTTAACATGTACAAAGAGAATGCTCAAACATGTAATGGAATATCACTTTGATGTCATCTAGTGCCTGACATACTATATATTTTTCATTAGATATTTCTTCCATGAATAAATAAAACAGACTTACATTTAAATTTTTTCTTGTGCTATTAATGAAAATGCTTTCTAATGGTGATTAATTTTAAACTATTGGGAAGTCTTATAACCACACATTTGAAAAGAATTGAACAAGCACCATGAAGCAATTCTCATATAAATCAAATTTCCTTATTGTTAAAAGGTCATGAGATAGTATTTTACATTATACATGTAAGTTATAATGATTTGAATCATTCTTAATACTATTATTTGCATAAAATATTAAAGTTGCTATAGATACCAGAAGCAAATAGAGCTTTAAAGTATAATACCTGGTACTTAGTGACCACATCATCCAGTCCTTCAATTTTAGAGTCCTGTAATACTGAGTATATTTTCAGAGTGCTAAAGATGTCCATTATCTTGGCAAGGCGTCGGTGGAAAGTTTCAAATTTGCCAAAAATATACATCTCACTGAACTCAAATTGTTTCTCACTTGGATTTTGTTTGAGTCTTTGTTTAGTCTTGTGAAAGCAGTGCTGATATTCCTTCAAATCAAAACGCAAGAGTAAGAAGGAAACATGAGGGATGGGAGCTGTGGCTCAGTCACCAACACCTGCCTCGCACATAAAAGGCCCTGGGCTCAATCTAGGTGCTGCAACAAAGGAAGAGAACAGAGGGGAAGGAAGGGAGGGGAGGGCAGGGCGAGGGGGAGGAAAGGAGAATGGAGGGGAAGGAAGAGGAAGGAAGGAGGGAGGGAGGGATGGGAGGGGAGCATGAAGATATTACTTTTATTTTATGAAGTGCAGTGACAGCAAGTTAGGATGAAAATGCAAAACTTTTCACAGATTCATGGCTTTGTGTGAACTTATCAGTTAGCTTTGAATGTCATCTTTCAATCTGGCAAAGGCGTGATCGCTCTTGCAACTCAAAGCCATGGCTGGCCTACCTTGGTGTCCCTGAGTGACAGCATCACTCTGTTGGTCTCCCCGTTGGTCTACAGGAAGTGTAAGGTAGACTGTCTCACCTTAGTCATCTTTGTCTCTCCAGAATTTAGTGTGGTATTGGGAAATATGAGGGCACCAACAAGGGTAAGAAAAGTGAATGCATTTCCTGGAGAGGTTTATTAACACTCAATTTTCTTAACTGCAAAGAATTACTGTTCTTTTCAGCAACCAACAATATCAATGCTAAATGGTCTTAAATAGAAAAAATAATAAAACACCTAAATATAATATTAAACTATTACCTCCTTGAGTTTAATCGCAGATAATATTTTTTCCATAACAACATCCTGTGGCTGGTTCCATATGGAGGCAGTTCCGTTGTTGGTAATGCATGCTTTACATGCAGATATCATCTGATTTGTCACCTGAAATTTTCCAATAAAATGGTGTGAATTGTATAAAAACAGCCATGGATTATAAATCAGTGTCAAAATCAGTGTAGAAGGTCCTCAACTCTTCTATGTACTGGGGATTGAACTCGAGTCCTTGCTCTTGCAAGGCAGGTGGCGGAACCACTGAGCTAAATCCCTGACCTTAAGCCACAGTTTATAAACAGCATGTAAAGTACAGTTGGCCCTGGTATCTTCTGCCACCCTGACCTGCAGTAAAAATCTCAAAAGATGACAGAGAGATAATAAAGCTAACTTATAAACCCACTAACACCTATTCACCCCTCTAAACACACACACAAAAAATAATCCTTCAAAACTTTCTTGATTTAAAAAAAATAATGTACAGGCAAAAGTAATAACTGTACTGCATGCTTGGGATAAACACAGTGCCTGAAGTTCCCGAGGAAGCAGTGAAGGTGTAAGCAAAACATCAGCCAGCCAGGGGCAGAATCAGGGTGCCAACGCATGAGGCTTTTAGCACACAATTTGCTCCCTGTTGTACCTACTTCAAAACTCCTATGACAAAAGATTTTTGAAAATTAAATAAAGGAGCTGGGCATGGTGGCATACATGTGTGATCCCAGCCCTTAAGAGGCAGGAAAGCTGTCAGGAGTTTGAGGCCAGCCTGAGCTACACAGTAAGTTTGAGGCCATCCTGGAGTACATAGGAGACCCTGTATCCAAAAACCACCTACAACAAAACAATAATAATTAGATAAAGGATACGTTCACAGTTTAATCCTAAACCAAGTCTTGCAAATAATAGGCATGAAATCTGGATCAGTGATGTACATAGACTTTTGAGTCTCACTTACCCAGGGAATATTCCCTCTGACCCTAACATGCAGTTTTACAGCATGAAGAAGGTGGGAAGACTCTTGTAGGGATGGCTCCCTTGTACCTGAACTACCTACGGGAGAGCAGAATGAAAAGCTCCCCAAGAAAGTGAGATTTCTCTAATCCTGGAAGAATTACGCCTCATACCCCATGAGTATTTAGGGCACAAGCCTGCATGAGTTGAAAATTCTTCTATAATAATACAGAAACAGAATGGGAAATCTTTCCTTGACAATGACAAAGTCATTTACGTCTTAGAGACTGTTCAAAAGAGGAGCAGCAGGTGTAAACATCATCACGCTTTTGAGCAGAATCATTATAACTGTTTTATAGATTACTGGAACACTGCAAGTGGCTTTTATTACCATAATTACTATTTAACCAACAACAAGTAAACAACCATAGCATCAAATAAATGTGAAAGAGTGGCATTTAAACTGTGAAACAGGAGACAGCCAATTAAATGTAGTTTTTCTTAGTTAAAACTTACCCAATAGGAATAAGTGATGGACTAAGTAACAGAGAAAGATGTTCCACAAAGAATATTTTTGTTTTTATTATGTAACAAGATATTTATAATAATTACTTGGGGAAATAATGCTTTATTTGCTAGAATTCACCTCTCATTAATTTTACCCCTATTGATAAGCTAAGCTTTTTTAAATTGTAAAATATACAGACGGTGAACTGAGCCTATGCAGTCATTTTTTTATTAATTTTATTGGTACATTTTAGTACACAATATAATGACATTCATCACTGAAAATTTGCAGCTTTATGTAATCTGTCTTGGTTCTTTTTTTTTCCCCATTCCCCTGCCTCCCATTCAGCCCTCCACCCCTCCCTATTTGCAAAGGCTTTGTTTCCATTTTTTCCTTTTCTCGTATTAATTCCGTTCCCTTCCTTCCTTTCCCTAACCCTTCCCACTTCCCCTTCCCCTTTGGACCTTTTCTTCCAATTTCACATTATCTATTACGCCTTTTAGTCCTTATTACACTTTCAGTTTCTCACGCTAGAGAAACTATTCCATATTTACACGAGTGTTCTATTTGTTTCACTTAAGAGTATGTGCGATTTAGCTCTAATTTCTCATTCTTTATGGCTGAGTAGTACTCCATTTTACAAAAGACAACCACATTTTCTTTATCGAGTCTCCAGTTGATGGGCAACAGGGCTGTTTCCAAGTTTAAGCTATTACATGGGTGCGCATATATCACTATGATGTGATTCTTTCCATTTTTGCGGGGGAGGGAGATACCCAGCAGAGGGATAGCTGGGTCAAATGGAACCTCTAGTCCCAGCTCTCTGAGGTATCTCCATATTGATTTCCACAGTGGTTGCACCAGTCTGCACTCCCACCAACAATGGAGAAGGGTTCCTTTTTCCCCACACCTCCACCAGCCTTTGTTATTGGTCAATTTCTTGATGGCAGCCATTCTTTCTGGAGTGAGGTGGAATCTTAGCATTGTTTTCATTTGCATCTCTCAAATGACCAGTGATATTGAACATTTTTCATGTTTATTTGCTATTTCTACTTCTTTGTTAATTATCAAATCATTGAGCACTGGCAGTAAATTATGTGACCATGGACTCTACACGACGTACTTACCTTTACAAAGAGAGATGTAATCCTCTCTGAGGTGTTATAGTAATGAGAGATACTGTAGATCATTTTAATTGCGCTTATAAGTGTAGGAATAGCATCAATCATGGCTATCTGGAAGATACCCCAAAAGTTTTCAGAAAAAAAATACCAGCAAATTCTGCAGAATTATAATTACAATGACTAATCATTCAATGTTTGTGTTACCTAATTTTTAATTTTATTCTGCTTCTTTTTAAATTGTTTTATTTTACCAACAATGGAAGGGTTCCTTTTTCCCCACACCTCCACCAGCCTTTGTTATTGGTCAATTTCTTGATGGCAGCCATTCTTTCTGGAGTGAGGTGGAATCTTAGCATTGTTTTCATTTGCATCTCTCAAATGACCAGTGATATTGAACATTTTTCATGTTTATTTGCTATTTCTACTTCTTTGTTAATTATCAAATCATTGAGCACTGGCAGTAAATTATGTGACCATGGACTCTACACGACGTACTTACCTTTACAAAGAGAGATGTAATCCTCTCTGAGGTGTTATAGTAATGAGAGATACTGTAGATCATTTTAATTGCGCTTATAAGTGTAGGAATAGCATCAATCATGGCTATCTGGAAGATACCCCAAAAGTTTTCAGAAAAAAAATACCAGCAAATTCTGCAGAATTATAATTACAATGACTAATCATTCAATGTTTGTGTTACCTAATTTTTAATTTTATTCTGCTTCTTTTTAAATTGTTTTATTTTTTATTCATCTGTGTCTGCAGCACACAACGTCTACGTTGTTTGTGTGGCATCGGCGGCAAGCTGCGCATCGCATCTTCATTCCTCCTCCTGCCTCTTCCCTCACATCCCTGCCCCTCCGTATCTTCTCTTCCCTTTTGAGAAAGATCCATCTCCCTGCTTCCTACTATCTTTATTTTGCTCTTTATTATAATTTTGGTTTTCATGTGAGGAAACCATGCGGTATTTAAGCTTATGAGTCCGATTCATTTCACTGAACCGTATGGTCTCGAGGGGCCTCTGTTTTCCTACAGATGGCTCGTTTATCTTGCTTTACAGCACGGTTGTACCCCTCTGTGTAAAACGACCACATTTTTAAGCCATTTGTCTGCTGATAGGCATAGACCACTTCCAAGACAGAGCTATTACGAATTGTGTTGCTATCAGCCTGGGTACGCACGGGTCGCTGTAATATGACATCTTTAACTCTTTACGTCTACTGACCCAATCTTAATTAAAATTTTGTTTCTATTTAAAATCTCAATGTTGTCTAAGCTTTACAGGAATATATTTGCAATGGCTTTATTTTTATTGATCATACTCGTTTATCAAATTTTATTTCAATGAAAAAAAACAGTTAACTTGCTGTAATTGACAAGGAGATTCCATCACTAATGAATTTTGCAATAAATGAAAGTAAGCGCTTCCTAAAGCCATTGTGTTTCCCCACAGTTTAGGGGATACAATCCAGAACACCAACTGCAATACTTAGTGGGAGGTATAACATAGAATATACGTTTTTAAAACGTAACCTCTCATCACAGTACATATGATGGATTAGAGATGAGCATAGAAGTAGACACAGAGATGTGTGCATGTTTTCTGGAGAATAAAAGGGAAGTTTCTAAGACCTTTCGCACAGACTCCTATCTCTGAACCAAACTCAGCTCTCAGTTCAGCTCACGCAGAAAGGGACATCCGTAAACTGCAGAAACTGAGCCTTGACTCACGGGATCGCTGCTGTACAGCGGGTCGCAGCACTTCTCCAGCGTGTACAAATATTTGACGTTGTCCTTCGCTTCATTAGCAGCATCAGTGATTCGAATATCCGTCTCCCGCCAAGTCTGAGCACAAGACAGAGAGCAACTTTAACGCAGTCCCTAACAGAGGTGCTTCCGACGGAAGAGCTGCCTAGAGTCACCACCACCGGTCCCTGGGTTCAAACTTTCCACTGGCTCTGTGCATCCTGCCCTTCATAAAACAATCCTGGGAGGTGAGGGACACTGTTATGCTGAGGAGCAATTTAAATCTGCTTGGTAGCTGTCTAAAGGCATCTCCTGCAGACACCGCCTTGTACAGTGTGTTCTACAGCTAGTACAGAGCACCACTAGGGCAGCCCCTCCTTCAAGCCCCCGCGTCCCCTCCTCTGGCCACTGGGCCCACTTGTGTGTCTCACTCTCCTCCTCCATCATCTCTGCACCCTAACCTGAGCTCCCTTGTTCCCTCGTCCCTTTACTTCCATCCATCATTAACGTAGCAATTATTTACTGCCAGTCCTTGACCAGGTCTGTGCTTAGGGGTACGAACTTAAAAATGGAGGGGGTGAAGGGAGGGCAGGGGTAAGGAGAAAAAATGAGAATCAAGACTTGTCGTGTAGAGGTACAAGATCCCAACAATGAATGTAACTGTACTGTATCCCTAAAATGTACCAATAAACTCAATTAAAGCTGAAAAAAAAAATGGAAGATGCCAGGCATGGTGGTACACGCATGTAATCCCAGCACTTGGGAGGCAATGGAAGACGTCTAAACAGGAGCAAATAAGAAAGAAAAGGAGATTTAAGAATTTCGAGGCGGGCTAATGCCAGTGTGTCTTTTACTGTATTTTTTTTTATTTAAACACCATATTTTTTAATCATGCCTCATACACATTGTTTTCAGGTACTAAGTTTTGGGGTGATTTGTTTTGCAGTATAAAAGTAATATACCACGACTAAAAACAAACATAGATGTGCTAAGTTTTCACTGTTATTTTATCTACCTTGTCTAATTCATACACACACACACATACACATACACGTATGTGTACACGTCGTGCCCACTACTAAAACTTGTATGTATGAGTAGGACAGCCAGTAGATTGTTTCATTCAAAGGTTATTCCAGACTCTCCCAAATGATATAAGAGCAATATTACTGATCTTAAAAGGTTTTCATACAGGACTAATAACACGTTCCTAATCACTCTCTGAAATCATGGACAGAGAATCTTCGCTCTCACTTCACAAGGCACCAAGAAGGACGCAGCTGACTACCTTCAGAAGCTTGGATTTAGCAGCAGCGAGCACCGCCAACACAGCCCTCACGTCAGGGCTTTTCAACTGATCCAACAGGTAGTTAAACTTGGAAAGTCTTTTCTTCCAGTGCTCCAGCTCAGCTCGGGGCCCAACATCATCTGCTTCCCTCCGCAGCTGACTGTTTTCGGCAAGGACCTATAAATGCACAGGGAAAGCATGAACCACTCAGTGGGACTGGAGACTGGAAGGTTACATGTGAGCAAGAAAAAAAATGAAATAAAATATTACACTATCTGAATCACGAGATATTTCATGCATTGATGGCCTCATGATTTAACATGCGTCTATTTCTTAAAGTTCAACAGAAGTGAAATTGATTTGTTCGGACTGAGAAGTACTTATTTCATGCGCCCGAATGAGCTTATGGAGACCCTGAATTCTGAAAGCTTCCTTGCCTGTTCTTTTACCATATAACTTTGGAAAGCCAATGCCTCAAGAAGATTAATTTAATTGTGCTTACTTTTCTGATCTAATGTTCACCTTCATTCAGGACTTCTCCCAAAATATTTTTTAAAGATTAAGTCTCAAACTCCCATGTAGAGGGTAGGATGATTTAGACAATCATTCATACAAAGACACTCTTCAAAAAATTGCCAAAGCACAGCCCACTAGTTACGTAAATTTATCTACTGTCACCACTTAGGATCTCATGCCTCTTAACCAACAACCAAGAATAAAAGCCACACTGAACCTCTCATCTTCTGAAAGACACAAGGTAAGATACTGAGGCAATCAGAATATTATGGTAAACTTTCTTTGTAGTTTATCATGATAAACTAAGGCTAGTTCAGCAGCACAGCATCCAAAACTGACCACAGGTTTCTGAAAATTACCTGTTCTGTCTGTTTGATCCACACTTTCATACACCCTTCCACTTTTTCCAAAGTCTCAGGGTTACTAGCTAAAGTCAAGTAGTCCATGGGTTCCTTCAGGGTTTTCAGTTCAAACACATCACACTTTTGAAGGTTTACCTAAAGAGATGATCAAATAACAAGATGATGCTTTTCAACACACACACACACACACACACACACACACACACACACACACACACACACATTTTTCGGTCAACTCCTAGGCTTAGACTGATATGAAGGGGATCCTCTAGTACAAGCCACCCTGCCCACTTAACAAAGATTCTTAAAATGTGGCGTATACCATGCCGTATCTTCCCGATGCACTGACAGTCCAAAGGTGATTGAGTCAGAGATCAAATTTTGGGTCGAAAAGGAGTGAATGAAATAGAAAAAGTCATACATCACAGAAGTGGGGAATTAATAAAAAACTTGGAAATTATTCAGCCACCGTATAAAACCAAAGAAAATGTGATTCATGGCGTGAAGAGAATTGATATGGGGCAGTGGGTTATTAATCTGTCAGTCCTTTTTGGAACTAGCAAGAGGAAAAGAATCCCTAGCAAGTTCAATGATGAACACTCAGATTCATCTCAGGGGGCTCAGAGGTAAATTTTGACTTGACAAAGAAAGAAGCCTGTGTTTACACACACATAACACAGATCTCACAAAATGAGCTAGCTATCTGATCAGCACATCTCTCTTTTGGTGAAAGTACACCTGGCAGCCTGTGTGAATCTCTGAATTCAACGCTCAGGTCCAACCTGGCCTGACCTACAAGACAGCTCTCGACAGGTTCAGAACCAGCAGGAAAGGCTGCAACTGTCATTTTCAAACTTCAACAGAAAGTCGCTTTGTGAAGTGCAGGCCCCACCCGTGGAAAAACCAAAGAGTGCCTTGGAGGAATGGAATGGGGAGAGGCAGTGTTCCTGCTAGCCGGGCCTGCTGCAAGGGAGTGTGGCCCCTAACCACATTCCCAAGGCTCCTCGTCTCCTTCCCTGGGCTTCCTAACAAGCCCTTCCAGCCATGCCCTCCAAAGCCCCTGGTCCAGACTCACAGTCCACCTTTGCCAACCAGGTGTGATGTTTGTATGACCTCCAGTTGGAAGCCACTCTCTCTATCTGTACATCGAGATGTCTGGGACTCCAAGATGCGGCCCCATTTCCTCAGACCTGATCTTTTCACTCAGGGTTCTTCTCTTTGCTACGCTCGAGCAGCACTCTGGCAAACCCATCCAAGCAGCACATACCTCCACACCACCCCATGCCTTTGCTAGCACCACCCAGCCTGGAAGGTCCTTCTAGCCTTTTGGCACAGTCCACACATCTCCAGGAGCCAAGCCAAAGTTCAGCGCCCTCTCCCACTTGGAGAAAATGCCCCTCCCATGGGGACATCTACCTTATGGTTTAAGAACCTCTCCCTATTGCAGTATGAGGTGGAAGCATACAAAAGTACCACATTTTGGGGGGCAGTGTCAACAATTTTATTTCCAACTCAGATGTCAGCTGGCATCATCCTGCCCCTGCTTAATAAAATGTCCACAGCTCCTCAATTCTACACCTATAGGCAAGCATCCTGTTCCCTCCCAGTATTCCACCAGGATCCAAATCACAGATAGGTGAGTGCGCATACGAGCCAATTCTCCCCTCTCCTCCCACAGGTGCCTCACCTGGGCTCTGTCAACTTCCTGTTGTTTACTTATCTCCTCTTCTTTCTCTCCCACTGCCAAACCCCACCCAACACATAGGAGTGTGCATCTGCTACCCTCTGCCATGCTGGGTCCAAATTCCTTTCACGCAAGGACACACATCAGTGCAAGTATTCCAGACTTTTGACTTTGCTCTCAAACATCTGACGTGACTGAGGAATACCCTACATCACCGCTGACTTTTCACAGAACCCTCAAAATGCTTCAATCATTGCACACTGTTTATATTTCAGTTTAGCCACTATCACACTTAAGGGGGCAATACAATTCCCTGTGAAATTTTTCAATATTTTCAGCACAGTGCAGTTGAAAATATACAAAAGAAGTATCATCCGCTTACATATTATATTCCTGACTGATCATTTTTAAAAGAACAATTTAATCATTCTTACCTTCTCCTTCAAACTCTCCTGTGCACCAGACAGGACACTCACGAAGCCTTCCAGAGAGCTCAGGAACTCCTGACGAATGCTTGGTGCATCCTGAAGGCCCTCAAGCTCACCCCAGCCATGACTCGAGGCCCTGAGAGCAGGAATGAAGATGTCCGAAAGCAAACGTCGCACACTATTCAGCAGGCCCCCATCTGCAGTATCTAACATGTTAAAGCTCACCTCCTGGAAAACAATTAGGGGATTCCTTTATTACAAGAATTATACTCAATTCCCTCATAGCTGCTAATCATTTCTAAAGGTTTTTAATTAACCAGATATCTGGTGAAATTACCCAGGAAATTGTTATGGTGGTTCAGGTTAATTGTGTCAACTTGATTGGTTTGGGAGCCTTCTAGAGGATTAGGAAAGCACAATTCTGACTGTGTCTGTGCAAGTCATGGAAGAATGACCTTGGGTACTGTATCTGTCCCCCTGCCACTTCTCCTCTGGTACTATTCCCCTGATCTGCTTCCCAGCACCATGAACGAAGTGTCTTCACTCCACGATTCTCTTTCACCATCATGTTTTTGCCTTGGAGCCCGCTGACCACTAACTAAATCCCCTGAAACTGTGAGCCAAATGAAGCCTCTCCTTTTTCATGTTGTAAGTGGCAGGCACTGTGTTTCAGTGGCAGGAAAGCCAACACAGAAAATTACAATCAGAGAAATTGTATTGTTGATGTGTCTGTACCTGGCCATGTTATACAGAAGCTTTTGGGACTACTTTGCAGGAGACATTCGGAAATGTTTAGAGAAGCAAGCTAGAGAGGACCTAGAGTGTTGCAAGCAAAAGTTGATGGGCAATTCTGATCAGAGTTTAAAAGACTAGAATGGTGACAGAAATGCAGACAGTAAAGGCTAGGCTCCACAACTGAGGACCTTTTGGGAATGGGACAAGAGGTCACACATGTTACACTTTAGCAGGAAAAAGTCTACAGTTTGCCCATGTTCTGAAACTTTGTAGGAGGATGAATTTGAGGAGCTATAGGCTAATTGATCTGGCAGAAGAAATTTCTAGGCAGCTCAACATTAAGGCTGTGTCATGGGTGATGGCTGCTTTCAGCCAAATTTATAGTAAGAATCAGGAGCAAAAAGCAGAGCAGAAATTTTTTAAAAAGTTAAACTTTGTCTCAGAAGAATCCATGTGTAAAGTTGAGGCCAAAGGAAGTATGGCTACCGAAAATATTAGCACCATTAAAAGAAACCAAGTACTTTTATACAAGTTTTAAAAAATGAATGGACCTTTTGGGTATTTCAGGAATTAGCAGCACCCCACTCATCACAAGCTCAAATGTGCAGAAGTTTAAGCCTCCTATTTAAGAAGAGAGCCCCTGAGCTCCTGCTCAGGAAGAGCTATGTGGGATTGATTTCAATATGCTCAGGTATCCAGACACTCAGAGGGTGCTGCTACCAGTGTCCAAGTGGGCCTCGCTACTGCTATGTTGGTGGCAGAACTTGGCATCATCCAGGCGATGTTATTTTTGTCAGTACAAAAAATTTAGGAGTTGTGTAGTCAGAGAGGCTTCAACTTAAATTTAAAGGAAAGTCTGCGAGGCCAGGCAAGGAGCCCCTGACAGGAAAGTGCACAAAGCTGTGAGAATAAAGCCAAAGTGCAATGGAGATCCCAGGAAGTCAGAGATGCCAGGAATAGGGCATGCTGAGGAAAGCTGTAGGCTGTGAGCAAAGCCAGCTGAAGAAAGAGGTCACATGGGCTGCAACCAGAAAGGTTACAGGGGTGAGACAACCCAAAGCCTCTGGAACCCATAACTCAGCACCGTGTGCCCTAAACAGCAGATACAGAGACACAAGACTTGTGTTTGTCCTCCTGGATTCTGCTCCTTCTTTCATCTTATTCTTTTCTATCCCTTTATTCCTTTCTTTTTGAAAGGGAATATTTATCTTGTGTCACTGCACCTTGGGATCATGTTCCTTGCTTTTTTATTTTTACAGAGGTTCACAGTTAAGAGTTTACATGGAGTCTCAGAAGACATTGACTTGGGCTTTTGAAAAATGCTGGAACTCAGACTTTGAGGATGGGATCATTGCATTCTTAGTTATATACATGAGAGTTAAATGTGTTAGGTGGAATTATTAACTTGTTATTGTGTTTCTTTGGAGATTAACTGTAGTTTAAGGAGATGTATTTGGGTGTAAAGTCGCCAAAGGGTATAACATAGTGGTTAAGATTAGTTGCTTCACATTACTGGGTTGGGAGCCATCTAGGGGATAAGGAAAGTGCACTTCTGAGCATGTCTGTGTAAGTCATGGAGGAATGGCCTTAGATATTATGTCTGGTCCTTGGCCACTTCCTCTCTGGCACTATTCCTTTGCTCTGCTTCCTGTCTGCCATGAACAGAGCAGCTTCACTCCACAATGCCCTCCCATCGTGATGTTTCTGCCTTGGAGCGTTGTGACTATGAACGGAATTCTGGAAACCGTGGTCCAATTTAAACCTCTCTTTCTTTAAACTTTGGGTGACTAGTATTGTGTCCCAGCAACAGGAAAAATGACTAATGTAATTATTTTGATACCTTGGTAAAGAGGTAAGCTTTATACTATTCTAAATTGCAATAATCAAAATAAAAGAATGGAATAAGTAGAACATCAGATATGTGTCAATTTATTTGCTTCAAGACAATGTACCCTTTAGGCATTTTACAAAGTATGGATGCATCCTATTTTGTACAAAAGGTAAAATTATATATCCACTATTTAAAATATTATTTTAAATGTATAAAACTTGCCATTAATAAATTATGTATAGCGAAGTTCTTTCCTTTTTTTTTTTTTTTTTTGGTACCAAGGATCAAACTTGGGACCCGGCACTTGTGAGGCAGGTGGAGCTACTGAGCTAAATCCCTGGTCCTGAAGTTCTTTTTGGAGTGGCGGGGGGGTGCCATGGACTTCTTTTTTTTTTTTTCTTTCTTTCTTTTATTGAGTTTATTGGTACATTTTAGGGACACAGTACAATTACATTCATTATTGGGATCCTGTACCTTTACATGACAGGTCTTGATTCTCATTTTTTCCCCTTGTCTCTGCCCTCCCTTCAGCCCCTCCTCCCCTTCCCATTCACAAACACATTATTTCCATTTTTTTCATTTTCTCATATTTTTTTCTTTTCCCTTATTACTTTTCCCCTACCCTTCCCACTTTCCCTACACTTTTAGGCCTTTTCTTCCTATTTCACATGGTCAATTATCTCGTTAGGATCGGCCCTGAAATTCTTTTAAAAAAAAAAAAGAATTCCATGATCATAATATCTTCCCTGCCAGGCAAATTCGTAATAGCTAAATCATAGAAGCAACCTATATGCCCATCAACAGATGAGTGGATGAAGAAAACATGGTATCTATACACAATGGAATACTGTTGAGCTATAAAAAAGGAAAATTTAGGATCATTTGTAGGAAAAATGGATGCAACTTGAAAACACAGTATTGAATGAAATAAATCAAATACATAAGCTTCCATATCATACAGTTTGTCTCATATAAGAAATCCAAAGTATAAATAAAGAGCAAAATAAAAATTAAAGGAAACAGGGAGATAGATCTTTTGCAAATGAGAAGGGAACCAAGAGATGAAGATGGGAGGAGGGGAAGTGAACGTAAAAAGAATTAATATTTGTGATGTACATGTACCAAATACCCACGATGAATGTGAAGGGGAATAAAAAAATTAAACCATGTTAAGTGCATGTACCCACTTCCTAATAAGAATATATATATTACATGCTCCAAACATGTACTAAAAAATGTTTAAAGAAAGACCTCATTGTTCATATAGACATAATAGTATATAGTATATTAATATAGTATATAACTGTGTATTAGTATAGTATAATGGTACATAGCATATTAATTGCATACTAAATCTTCATTAAAACATTTAAAGAAAAATATCCTCTGAATTGCTTGTTTTAAATGCTTAACAAATATTTCCTTGAAGGTAATTTAAATATCGATGAACACAGTGGTTGTCTCCACAAGGAGAGCTATTTTGTGCAGCCTACATGATTTGGGGTAATTTATAGTACATGATTGTCCCATCACTTACTCGGTGGATGTTCTCAGGTGTGATGGCTTTGGACGAATCAGTCCGAATGAAAAACACACAGACTCCTGTAAGAGCAACATCTTTTCCCTCAGTCACAAACACCTTCGGTTTCTTAATCTTTCCAGGCACAGGATTTACCCCTCCTGGAGAGCCAAAGTGTCCTACAAATGAAGAAGAATTTTAATTTCACAAGTGCTACCCACGGCCCACATATTCACCTCTTAGCATGACGTTTCCTTGTTCAGATATTATAGATGCTGGCTTGTCCATGTGCCTGAGGTAGATCTACCCCTTGGGTAAACTCTAGTCTGAACCCTGAAGGGACAGAAAAGGGTTGCTTGATTTGAGACCATAGGTTCATCTCAAAATCATCATGTTGGAGTTGTGGGGAAGAGAGAGGGGGCAGAAGGCATCAGCAGGCACTGAATTCCAGGACCTCTGTGAGCAAACTGCATTATTAAAACTCGCAACCCGGAGGCAGGTGTGACCTATCCAAGGTTGCAGACAACAGGTGACAGAGCCATGGTAAATGACCATGAAACTCGGGCTGCCTTACTCTGTCACCATGAGTGCAGCTGGCTGGTCCTGCAGGACACTGCTGGGGTCTGGGGTGTGCAGACAGGAGCACAGGGTGAGCTCAAGATGGAGACTTCTGGGGCTTCAACCTCGGGCCACTTCCTGACCACAGGGCCCTTAGCAAACTACTTGATCTCTCTATGCCTCAGTTTTCTCATCTGAAACATGAGAATCATACCAGAATACAGCATTGGGAATTGTTATGAGGATCAAATGAGTTACTGCATATATAGTAAATGCCTTAGAAAGGCACAATAGAAAAAGAAAAGCACATAAAAATACTGGCTCAGAAAGCATTATTATTATTAGGATTTGAGATTTTACTTTGAGCATTAGCTAGCTCACAGAGTAGATTATTAAGTGCACAGAACATACTCTGAGCATTCCGCTGTCTTCTGATCTCCAAATTAATTACCAGCCTAACCAAAATGATTGAAGTGGAAAGATAATGCTAAGGGAGGAATCTGGGAAACATGGCAAAATGGAAGTTGAATGCTAAGCCCTAGAACTAGAAAACTCTTGGAGTAATTGTCCCTCGGAGCTCCTCCTCCTCATGTGCTGGGCTGGAGACTTCTGCCAGAGACATCCAGAGAGAACTCCCAATAAAGGCCAGCAGGAGACCCACCCCTCATGCAGAATCACATCCCCGCCTGGGTCTCAAAAGTAGTAAGATGTGAGGAGAAGTTTCAACCAAGACACGCACTGAAATTCGGCAGATAGCAGACAGCAAAGACAGTGTCCGGATATCGTGGGACAGTGGTGCTGCTGTGACAAGGTAGGGGTGTGTAGTACCTTCCACTTTTTGCTCCAGTCAGAATGAAGCGTCAACTGTACCCGTCACCCCAGAACTGGGGTCGGGGGTGGTTTCCTGAGATGCTGTACTCCCAGTGCTAAACTAGGAACGTCTCGGGCAAGGAGGTACAGTCATCACCCTACTCATGGAACACAGTTTTCAGTACAACAACCCAATGAACCTTACTGATGTCTCCTAAAGGTTGAGGTTGATGTGGATGGGGATATGAAATCTGCCCAAGAAATCTAATGCAGCTTGCTACACAGCACAGAAAGAAGGGGCCTGATCTGGTTGCATCAGAACAATGGGGTGACCCCACTGGGACCATCTTAAATCATGCCCATGAGGGATGCTGGAAGGACAATAGGTCAGAGCAGGCCAGGGTGGCATACTGCCAAAGTGCAGGCACAGATGGTCGTGGCCATCAGGAGGACAACACACCACCATGGCACATGCAGCCAGGGCTCCGAGTGGAGAACCAGCCCGGGTGCCCACAAGAACAAGGTTCCAGGGAATGCATGGGAAGCAGCCTGCAACAGTGCCAGCCAGGAATGACCTCCTGGCAACCCTTGCCTCATCTCTGCCCTGCCTCGGGCCTGACGGTCACACACCGTGTTAACCCAATGCAGACACAGGGGACAGAAGAAGCTGAGGAAGCAAAGAAGGACCACAGGCTTCTCTCCCACTGCAGGTGCCATCTTCTGAGTCCCCAGATGGGAGCTGTGGGATGGGATGAGGAAAGGAGATGATCAAACTTCTGATCAGTTATTTATCTACTTACTTATTTTTAGGTGTTCAAGGTCCATAAAGGTTTGAACTTCCCTGCAACAAAAAGCCTGGATGCAAAAATAAAAACGAAACAAACAACCCAAAATACGATGCTTAATCATTGAAGCAGCAGCACTGTTGCTAACATCATTAGGTGTCCCTTTTCATTGCAAACTGCGATGGTGTTTGTAAGTGGCCATACGAATATTTCCTATCCAAGAAAGTCTACAAAAGTCATGAGCCTGACTCAATCCAAGATCAGAAGAAGAACGAGCCCCACTGAAAAGGTCTGAGTGGAGAGTGAGAAGCAAAACAAAACTTGCACTGTGCTTACAGCGCATGGAGCCTTCTTTCTCCATGTGAAATTTACAGGAAGGAGAGCTTCTCATGGTGAACAGTTCATGGGCACATTTACTATTTCCTTTGAGCTCATATTTTTCAGTCTGAGGTAGAAATTCAAAACTCTTTTGTCTTTTGTGCAAAATGTAATGCATTTTGGAGCACAAAATATCAAATTGATAACGAGAAACATCAGTCACTTAAGATTTTCAGGTATAATATCTTTAGTTCCTCTATATTTTCCCTTTTTTCAAAAGGATCATGAAATGATTGACATATATTCATGATATATGTATTTATTCCCACAGTTTGGCCTTAAAAATTATACTAATTCTTAGAGACATGCTAGTTAGATCCCCACAAAGATTTGCAGTTCTTAGGGAGGGAGCAGCACTGAATCTGTCATTCAGTATTACACATTTGAGTCAGAATCAGTAGAAAATAAACACAATGTGGTATTTAACTTTAAAATTCATGTTCTGCTTATTGGGGATCATTCCTGTGTTAGAAAGAGAAAGAGGTGCTTATTAGAAGCTGTAGGACATAACCACTTGGAATGAACCAACATGAGAAAAGGAATTCAGAACCTCTTCATCCTGTTAGGCTCCCCCACATCTTATTCCCCTGGCCCCCAAGGTTTAGGAAGCCTGGTTAGTTCTCTCACGAGCTTCTTATTCGTGCCCCTCAGATAAATCTAATGACATTTCTGGATTATGTAATCAAATGTCAATACCTGTTTCTGCTACCTCCACATCCTGATAGTAAAACATAACGTGACGGAGACCTCCAGCAACAAAAAGTTGATCAATTCGTTCAATCTAAGGAAAAGAAAAGGCAAGGTAATGGCTTTGCTCTGAATTAGACATTGCATTTAAATCTGCATTAATAACATAGAAAGTAAAATTATATCATCTTTCTTATGCACACAGGACTGTATCTAATACACCCCATGTGGAAGGGGGCATTTTTTTCCAACATAAAAACCGCAAAAAATAAGAATCTCGCCATAGGAAAGAGTCACTTCAAAGAAGTAATTTAGTTAATCATAAAAATACTTGCTAGGTATGTAATCCCTTCGACAAGGGAATGTCCTCCCATTTTCACTAACTCCCTAAAGTGTTGAGCTGTTGAAGGCAGATATAAATGTAGAAGAGTGTTTCATTTTCAGCCAGTTGCAATACAGCAAGAACAAACCTTTCAAAAGCCACACAGTTGCCAGGCATGGTGGTGCACACCTGTAATCTCAGCACTCAGAAGGCTGAGGCAAGAAGATCACAGAGAATTCAAGGCCAAACCAGCTTGAACTACACACTGAGACCCTGACTCAGAAAAACAAAAAACAAAAAAGAAAGCAATATTTAATTTTAATAACCATGTAAAACTGTCATGGAAACACCTATAACTACAAACTGTTTTCCATACTTCATCCCATCCACTGAGTTCACCATGAGGCTACAGTTTGACAAGTGGTCTGCTGCCAACGGATGCTCTTCTTATAAATAAGTCTAGAGGACGGGCTGGAGCTCCTATGAAAAGAAAAGGGACCAAAGCTGCACATACACTACGGTGGCTATTGGAAGAAAGGAAGGAGAGGAAAGGAGAGAAGAGCAGTGAGGAGGTAGAAGGGGGAGGGAGGAGGAATAGCAAGTGTTCGTTAGCAAGGAGGCAGAGACATTGGAAGCCCCATGCACAGATGTTGGGAATGAAAGGTTGCAGCCACCGTGGAAAACGTTTTTCCTCAAAAGCTCGATGTAGCATGACCATATGATCCAGCAATTCCACTTCTGCCTGCATGTCCCAAAGCACTGAAAGTGGATCTCAAAGAGACATCTGCACCTCCTGTTCAAAACTGCACTGTGCGCAGCGGCTCCTTAGACAGGTAGGGGCGGGAGATGAGTGGATAGGCGGAATCCGGCATGCGCGCGCGAGGGACTGTCACTCAGCCCTGGCAGGGAGGAGAGCTGACTCACAGCGTGGCATGGCTGGGCAGCAAAACCCTGTGCTCAGTAAAATAAAGTGATCACAAAGGCCAGACACTGTATGATCCTGCTTCCACGGGCACCTAGAGTGGTCCGATTTGTAGAGACAGAAAGTGGAAGGGTGATGCCAGGGGCTGAAGAGAGGGGAGAATGGACAGTTACTGTTTACTGGGTATAGAGTTTCTACCTTGCAAGATAGAAAGAGCTCTGAGGATTGGTGCATGGCCATGTGCGTGTATTTAACACTACCGGACCACACACTTAGAACGCTTCACGTGGTAAATTTTATGTCGTGTATACTAATAGCTTATCCTAGCTGACTGAAAAGAAAGCTTGCGTCATTGCCTGTTTATTTCTTTTTGTAAGAATCTCTTTGGTTTATGTGTGTACTGAGTAACTACTTTGAAGATAATGACATACAGGGTAATAACTACTGTTATTCTCTTATTATTTGGTTATGAAAATTTGTTTTTCACAAAATATAATATATATGTAAATTAAGTGCACAAAAAGACCCCCTTCGATCTCCATCATGCTGTAACTAAAATGTTAGAAGCAGGGAAAGGAAAGTTGCCCACCGTAGGTTGTTACATAAGGGATGAGAACGGTAGACAAGAGTAACTTCCAATCCTCTGTCGCAGCCAGGATTAAAACTCCCGACCCCAGTCCCAGCCTCACTTGAGATACTGAGCCAGGTGCTTTCTTCAAACATCCAGCCTCTGACTGTCCTGGGTCCTGAATTTGTCCTACTGGCGTTCTCCATGGGATTCCTACAGTCCTAAGCTTTTGTCTGTTTATTCCACCTGCATTATCTCAAAACCAGCCATCTGGGGCTGGGGATTTAGCTCAGTGGTTCTGGCACCTGCCTCACAAGCACAAGGACCCGAGTTCCATCCCTGGTACCAAAAAAAAAAAGAAAATATTAAGCCCACCACTGCAAAGCAGGATCAGTATTGTGGTATTCTGTCAATCAACAATCCCTTCTTTCCTTCCTTGCTTCCTCTCTCCCTCTCCCTTCCTTCTTTTCTTTCTTCCTTCTTTTTTTCCATTCTTTTTTCCTTCCTTGTTTGTTTTCCCTTTCTCTTTCTAATGCTGAATAAGTTTTTCTTTGAAAGCTTCAGGAATTGTCACGAGGCTCCTGCTATGCCTTCCTCACTGACCAGAAAACTACATCTTGCTGTATCTTGGACCTCCCATCAAGAACAAGTCACCAGGCAAATCCCACGCTAGACTTTGAAGAGAAACTGTAACGGGAGATAACAGAAAATGAGAGTCAAATTAGGAACAGAGGAGAGTAGCTTCAGCTGCCAAACCAGAGCCCAAAGGAAGAAGTCAGGGCATAACTCAATATCCAAGCCTAGAAAAGGATAGACGTAAGATCGATCACTCCACCAGTCAGCTGGAGAGGATATTTCACTCCCCAGCCTCAGGTTCCAAAATGGCTCCAGAACCCAGCGTCACTGGACATAGAAAGGTGTGGGCTCTGGGCTCCAATGTACTTGCAAGTTCTGTTCCCCAGCAAGGAGAGCTGGAGACCCCGGTTCATCCTGCAGCTTCCAGCACAGTGAGAATGGAGCCCTGTCCACACTAAGTCACTCCGTCCTCTAAGGGACAGCACAGGACCTGCCACAGGCCATCTGTGCTCCCCACAGTCAAGTGAGCGAGAACTCAAATGCATCGCACCTGATTCCCCTCAAGAAGCGCGTCTTCCACTTCACTTCTGTTCAGGTCCAAACAGGAAGCCACGATGGCGAATAAGTAGTCATGTCTTCCGTCCAAATGAGCCCGCTTGGCTTCCTTCTCTTCCTTCAGTCTTTGCTAAAAGAAAGGCATGAAAATGTTACACTGTAACTCAAATGGATTTATTTCATAATAATTTCTACAGTGTGGGTTTTTGTTTGTTTTTCAAGTCTCAGGGATTCAGATAATACCTTAACAGTACCAGTTTTTATGTACTATCTTCTATTTTTAGAAATAACATTATTTCTAATGAAAATAAGGTGTGCTCACGGTTTTGGAATGAAGGCAGAGAAATCATCTGCCATCCAGAAATTATTGCTGCTAACATTTTTGTTCTAAATCTTTGCAGACTTATTTCTGTGCATATATAAGCATTTAATGGATATATACCAAGAAAAAGATATTGTCATTCTTTAAACTTTTTCTTGGTCAGTAAAACAATAGTCTTCTACCCTGTTTTCGTTCTTCATTATTTGTTTACAGGTTCATATCTGGTTTTGAAATTAATTTCTGAGTCTCACTGCATACTTTTAACTACTGTATTGATTATTAGTTATAATAATAAAGCATGTTTGACACAACCAGTGTTAGCAGTATGAAGCTCATCTTTCTGTACTCTGTTCCTGCACATATATGCAAAATGTGCTCACATTTACCTCATATCATAAAGTTTTTCATTCATTTCTCCCTTAACAATGTATCAGACTTATTTTTAGAGTGTCATGGATTATTCCAACCCATGTGATAGCTGCAAAATATTTTTAATATGGTTATACCATAATTTATTCAACTATTTTGCCATTAGTGGACATTCAGGCCCTAATCTATTTGTTTAAATAAGGCATATTACCTTTCGATGCCAATTGTTTGCTACCACTAGGAAGAGGGAAGGCAGTCCTTCTGTATTACTTCTTTTAATCAACAAACATTTACTAAGTCTCAAACACATGCCAATACCAAGGAGGTAAATATAACTCAGTAGCCTCAAAAAAGCTCACAGCCTCCCTGGCAGGATGCAAGCAGGAAATGTAAATGCCACAGAATGCCAGTCTGATTTAGGGGACCCCAAATACAGGACAATTCATGGGTCTTCAGAGAAGAAGCAAAAAGGAGGATCTCACTCTGGTCCAGGGTTGGGAAGGGGTGGAGGTATGAGTAACAGGAAAGCTTTCAGGAGGAAGTGCTTTAAGCCTTGAGTTGGAGGAAGATTGGTCACACCTCTTTGGATGGGGCCATCTCTGCACATGCAAAGGCCAAGAGGGATAAGAAAGGATAGCACATTCAGGAAATCACAAGGCAGCCAAGATGGCTGAAATTATAAAAGACTAGAAAAGCCTAATGAGAAATGAGAACAGAGTCAGATCACAAAATATCAGAAAGCTTAATCATCCTCTGGAGTCCACAGAGAAAAACTGAGAGAGAGAGAGAGATGCTCAGCTTTGTGCAGCATTGGCAAATCCACCATCCGGAAAGCACTGTTGAAAGTAGACAGTAGTCATGCAAGCTGTGGATGGTCTGGTGGATTACGGCCACGTTCCCAGAGACCAAGGACCCTTCAGGAGGAGGTTGGGGCGGCACCATCAGTAGCTGAGTGTTTAGAAGTGTTAGGTTCAGAAGCATGGTGGTGCACATGTGGAGACACGGCAGACCATCAGAAATGTGGATCTGGAGTTGGAGCAGAAATTCTTCACAGGTACAGATACAGATGCATGTTTCCAGCCCAGCGCAACTGACCTTCTGGGCCCTGTCATTCCTGTGAGGAACGGCCTTGTGCACTGTGACTTGGTTAGCAGCATGCTGGTCTTTGTCTTACAGAAGTCAGCAGCTCCCCACTACCAAGTCATAGGAGCTAAAGCTGTCTGCGGTCATTGTCAAGCATCCCGAGGAATAAAATCCCCCTCCATATTAGAAAACTTCTAATATGATATAGACACACACAGGTGTGGCTATGTGTACAAGATGTGAATAAGATGATATAAAAACTATAATGTGAATGATGCATCTGGGGATTGTGCAGAGCAGAACCTACAAAATGATGTCAGCAGCCCGTGGATACACACTAGTCATTCATAAACATTCATCAAACGAATGAATAAACCAAAGTGTGAGCCATGAGGGAAGATGTGATTTATGGAGATGAAATGACAAGATGCTGGAGAAACTCGAGGAACACAGCATGCCGGAAGCAAGGAGGGAAAGCAGTGTGAACAGGGAAGGTGAAGGACAAGTGTGCAGAGAGAAAGGACGAGGGAAGCAGGAGCATCAGCCAGCCCTGCCGAGTGGCCATCACCCTAGTGCTCTAGAGAGGTTCATTACGGTGTCTTTCAGGACTGCGCTTGCAAGAGAGGCTGCTGCAACCCACATCTCTTTGGCAACATGATCGTGCAACACACCTCCCAAGAGATACACTCTTCCTTCTCCCCTAGGATTTGGCTGGGGAAACAAATGGTGAAAGTTCCTTGGCTAGTCCTTAGCAATGGTTTCCAGCATCTGCCACTGGACTTGGCACACTCCCTCAGAGCCCCGCCACCATGCTGACAGCCAAGTCATGTGAGGAGACCATGTGGATGAGAACCAAGGTTTTCCAGTCAACAGGCCCAGCTGATTTCCCGGACACTGGGCTAGCACCAACTCGGAGCCATGTGAATAGTGTGACCCATGCCATGAGTAACAGAACCACCCAGCTGAGATCAATCACCCATAGGATAGAGAGATGATAGATGGTGTTGCTGCTTTAGGCCTTAAGTTTCGGTGTGGTTGGTTACTCAGCAACAGGTAACAGAGCAATTATGTGTGAATAATTTGATTATTCAGGTGGAGCCAATGGACTCCACCTGAGACCAGGATAATTGGGAGAAAAGAAGTATAAAGACACTGAAATGCAGACTAATCTTTCCAGAAATTCGACTAAAATGAAAAGGACATTGTACTAGCAGAGAGAGAGGAACTCAGAGTTCAGGAAGAACTTTTTAAGATAAAAAAGACTTATGAAAAAGTTAAGGATTTCAGAGTAATTGAAAGATCGCTGCTACAGTGGTTTGGGCATGCAGCTGAGTGGTGAAGCGTTTGTCTAACTTGCCTGAGGCCCTGCATTCAACCTTGGTGCTGCAAAAGAAAACAAAAAGTAACATCATTATACCTTACATGGATTTCTCTAAACCTGAAAGACTATGTGAGAGACAACTTCACTGAGAAAGGGAGCAGAGATTGTTTTTTTAAAAAAAATTACCAATTGTCTTGCCATTTTTCTAAAACAAAGGTCTTGATTCGTAGCCATCCAATCAAAGAAAATGTAAATACATTTTCAAATGTCACTAAAGCCAAGAAGATGGCTGTTGTTTTGAATTGTGTACCTTCCTAGCAGAGAGAAATAAAATACTTTTCTCAAAGTGATGTCTCTAGTTTTTAGTAGAAATCTTTAACAGATAGGAAACCAGGGATCAACTAGCAATAGAACAAAGAGAACATAAATGCTCAGTAACAAATAAAGAAATAAAAGAAGTAGAGAGCCAGAATATTCAAGATTTAAAGCAACTGAAGGCTTCCAAAGAAGACAGAAACTTAAATAAGATTCTGCTATGGCAACACATTATCCCATGACCCAATTTTATGAGATTCTGGAGGAAAAAAAAATATTATAATGAAAGAAAAGAGAGATTGGCCCTTAAAACAGAACATGATTTATTCTATTTTTACTTAAATATCACAGAAGAAAAAATTCTGAAACAGTTTTACATACAGGTAGAAAATGGTCAGCATGTTTTAAAGTAAATGTTTTCAAAAGCTATTTCTTAAGAGCTGAATGTGTTCTTACTTAAACGGATTGTCTTAACTCCTACAGACAAGAAATACAAAATCAACTCTTGTACCATGGAGATGAAAAACCACAATGTTTACCAGTCTCAGCTTTCTCTGTCTTACACTCCGGTATCACGTGAGTGGGATTTCCTTGTTTTTTACCATCACAGAAAGTCAGTGACATCGAATAATATTTACTGATCATATCAGTGCATTGTCACTCTATGAGCCTAACCCTGCAGGTTTCTGGCTGCTAGGGGACTGCAGCAACAAGCAGTCAGGTGAGAAGCTGTCGGGGGTGGAGGTGGCTTGTTCTGCTGGCCTTTGCAACCTCTAGGATGCTTGGAGAGTAAAGGCAGAATGGAATCAACAGGATAGGAAACTACCAGCTACACTTTTGGAGACAGGGAAAAGGGCCAGGGAAGGGAGACCGGAAAAGGAGGGTGACAGGGTTGAAAATGATCAAGACGTGTTCCATGCATGAACCAAACCCCTCAAATACTAACATGTATTAATTTTTTAAGGTAAGAGGGAAACTATATAAGGATTTTTTTTCAATGCTGAAGACCCACCCTAGGGTCTTACATATCAAGGCAAGCACTCTCCCAATGAGCTACAACCGCAACCCCACAACGATTTTCAAGTATTTCATTAAGATTGTTTCCCACTGCATGCATCCATTTATATAGTGAGGACAAAGGTCAGATTCCCATTCGATATCCAAGGAACTCTAACGCAATATTAAAATATTTGAGACTGGGTTACCTAATGCCTTGGAATGGGAAAGTCTAATTTAGGACTTCAAAAAATAAGCTCTAGGGCCGGGAATTCAGCTCAGGGGTTCTGACACCTTCCTCTCAAGCACACAGTCCCAAGTTTGATTCCTGGTACCAAAAAATAAATAAATAATTTTTTAAAAATAAGCTCTGCTTCCCAGGGGGTGAGGGGTGTTATTCACCCACCAAGAAGAGCTGTCGTCAGACCTCATAGTAGGTTCCAGTCTGTTAAGACTCTACTAGTGACCCTGAAAACCTCTCTAGGGCTTCAGTTTCCTTGACTCCAAGGTCAACGTGCTGGACTGGGTGACAGCTAAGTACCACTACTTCTCTAACAGGCATTCTGCTTCTGGTGGGTCCAAAAGTTAATACAAACGCCAGTCATGCAATTTTAAAATGTAGATCCCAATGAAGACCTCAATGCTATGTGTTTTCAAAAAGCTCAGTGCCCTTTTTCCAAAGTCAATTGGTCCATTCTATTAAAAATATATACATCCTAACCTT